ACCATTTAGTCCATTGTATCATTTAAGGTTTAATGATTGTTATGTTGTGAACTTGATCCTTGCAATTATGATATTTGGTTATTTTGCTTCACTTTATCTTTTTTGTTTTTTTTTTTTTTTTTTTATTGTACTGTATGCAGTCTTCCTTAGTATTGGTGGACTTTACATTCTTGACATGTTTTTGCAATGGCTGGTAGCTGTTGTTCCTTTCCATGTTTAGTGCGTTCCTTCAGGATCTCTTGTAGGGCAGGCCTGGCGGTGACAAAATCTCTAAGCATTTGCTTGTCTGTAAAGGATTTATTTTCTCTCACTATGAAACTTAGTTTGGCTGGATATGAAATTCTGGGTTGAAAAATTCTTTCTTTAAGACATGTTGAATATTGGCCCACCTCTCTTCTGGCTTGGAGAGTTTCTGCCAAGAGATCTGCTGTCTAGTCTTATGGGCTTCCCCTTTGTGGGTAACCCGACCATTTCTCTCTGGCTGCCCTTAACAGTTTTTTCCTTCATTCCAACTTTGGTGAATCTGACAATTATGTGGTCCTTGGATTGCTCTTCTCGAGAGTATCTTTGTGGCTTCTTGGGTATTTTCTGAATTGAATTTTGGCCGCCGTTACTAGGTTGGGAAGTTCCTGGATGATATCCTCAGAGTGTTTTCCAATTGTTTCCTATTTTCCCTGTCACTTTCAGGCACACCAATCAGATGTATATTTGGTCTTTTCACATAATCCCATATTTTCTTGGAGGCTTGTGTCATTTCTGTTCTCTTTTTCTCTACACTTCTTGCTTCATTTCATTCATTGACTTCAGTCACTGATATTCTTTCTTCCAGTGATCGAGTCGGTTACTGAAGCTTGTGCATTTGTCATGTAGTTCTCGTGTCATGGTTTTCATCTCTATCAGTTCTTTAAGGTCTTCTCTGCATTGATTATTCTAGTTATCCATTCATCCATTCTTTTTTCAAGGTTTTTAGTTTCTTTGCGCTGGTTATGTAGTCTCCTCTCTCTAGCTCTGAGAAGTTGATCGACTGAAGCCTTCTTCTCTCAACTGGTCAAGTCATTCTCCATCCAGCTTTGTTCCGTTGCTGGCGATAAGCTGCGTTCCTTTGGAGGGGGAGATGCGCTCTGATTTTTTGAATTTCCAGCTTTTCCTGCACTGCTTTTCCTCATCTTTGTGGTTTTATCTGCCTTGGTCTTTGATGATGGTGACGTACTGATGGGGTTTTCGTGTGGGTGTTCTTTCTGTTTGTTAGTTTTCCTTCTAACAGTCAGGACCCTCAGCTGTAGGTCTGTTGGAGTTGCTTGAGGTCCACTCCAGACCCTGTTTTGCCTGGGTATCAGCAGCAGAGGCTCCTGCAGAAGATAGAATATTGCTGAACAGTGAGTGTTGCTGTCTGATTCTTGCTCCAGAAGCTTTGTCTCAGGGGTGTGCCCTGCCGTGTGAGGTATGAGGTGTTGGTCTGTACATAGTGGGGGATGTCTCCCAGTTAGGCTACTCAGGGGTCAGGGACCCACTTGAGCAGGCAGTGTGTCTGTTCTCAGATCTCAGTCCCCATGCTGGAAGATCCACTGCTCTCTTCAAAGCTGTCAGACAGGGGCATTTACCTCTGCCAAGGTTTCTGCTGCTTTCTGTTTAGCTATGCCCTGTCTCCAGAGGAGGAGTCTACAGAGGCAGGCCGGCCTCCTTGAGCTGTGGTGGGCTGCACCCAATTCGAGCTTCCTGGTGGCTTTGTTTACCTACTTAAGCCTCAGCAATGGTGGGCGCCCCTCCCCCAGCCTCGAAGCTGCCTTGCAGTTAGATCTCAGACTGCTGTGCTAGCAATGAGTTAGGCTCTGTGGGCGTGGGACCCTCTGGGCCAGGTGTGGGATATAATCTCCTGGTGTGCCCTTTGCTAAGACCCTTGGTAAAGTGCAGTATTAGGGTGGGAGTTACCCGATTTTCCAGGTGCTGTGTGTCTCAATTTCCTTTGGCTAGGAAAAGGAATTCCCTTCCCCCTTGCGCTTCCCAGGTGAGGCAATGCCTCGCCCTGCTTCAGCTGTCACTGCTCGGGCTGCACCCGTGGACCAGTGCCAACTGTCCGACATGCACCAGTGAGATGAACCCAGTACCTCAGTTGAAAATGCAGAAATCACCTGTCTTCTGTGTCACTCACGCTGGGAGCTGGAGGCTGGAGCTGTTCCTATTCGGCCGTCTGGGATTCTGTAAAATCCAAATGTTATTTTTCTTACATTTCAAAGCTTGCTTTTGTCTTCTAAGAGTATAAATTTTAGTATTTGTCATCTCTCAGGACAGATGCAATTAACAGGAAATAGAAGTTTGAAGAAACAGAGATGGCGTGTCATAGCAAACTAAGTTCAAAACGACATAACCCCAGTGCATCAAGGTTAAGGTGGGACAGTGGTTTGTGATGCCTGGGAGGGTGGGGAAATTGTGATGATGCTGGTAGACCTGGGCGGACTATGTTTCCAGTCACACCCGCCATCAGAGGAGGAAGGTGCTGGTACTGATGTCCCCACCCCAGAGTCTGTGCTGGCCTTGGTTTTCCACAGTGAGGGCTTGTTCTAATGTTGTACAATGTCATACTCGGATATCACTGTGACCTGTTACTATGCTTTAGAACCTGAGAGGCCTCCATTCACGTGGCAGCATGGGTGAGCAGATGCTCCCAGAGCAGGTGGAGTGGTGGTGCTGGATGGAGGTAAGAGTGGGGGCTCCAAAGTCAGAACTTCCAGCTTCAGGTCTCAGTTCAGCACCTGCTCGCTGTATGTCGTTAGCAAGCAACTAGATCTTTCTAAGCCTCAGCTTCCTCGTCTTTGATGGTAGTTGGTAATAATAGGTTCATGCTTCGTAGCATCACTGTTTTGTTCAAGCAGAATGCTCAGCATACTGGCAAATAATAAGAGCTAATAAATATTAGTTGTGTCACTGTTGTCACTAGAGGGGAGCCAGAGCCCCTTTCGGGAGCCTTGTGTTTAGGGGCAGTGTGTACTCACAAAACAATAACAGTAATAGTGATGGTGTTAGCAGCAACAGCAGTAATCATGGAAACGTAGATTAAGCATTTACTGTGTCTGAACCCTGTGGCTGTTGCTGCTTTCAGCCCGTTCTGCATTGAGAAGGGCCGGGGATGTGTTGGGGCTAGATGCTGCCAAGTAGGTGGGTGTAGATTCACAGCGGTCTATTCTGGCCCCTCTTGGGAAGGTTCAAAAGCCAGTTTTGGCCACTTGTGGTCTTCTGCTGTGCCTAGACAGGATCGTTTCTGCTGGTTACGTGCATGGTGGTGGCTGAGGTCCATTGTCTGGAATTGAATTGGGGTTCCCTGCCTCCTACTCCCTCATTTGGAAACCTTTTCTTGTTGTTAAATCAGTAGTTAGAGCTGGCCGTGCGCGGTGGCTCACGCCTGTAATCCCAGCACTTTGGGAGGCCGAAGCGGGCGGATCACAAGGTGAGGAGATTGAGACCATCCTGGCTAACACTGTGAAACCCTGTCTCTACTAAAAATACAAAAAATGAACCAGGCGTGGTGGCGGTCACCTGGAGTCCCAGCTACTCAGGAGGCAGGAGAATGGTGTGGACCCAGGAGGTAGAGCTTGCAGTGAGCCGAGATTGCGCCAGTGCCCTCCAGCCTGGGCGACAGAGTGAGATTCTGTCCCCCCTCCCCCCCCCAAAAAAAGATCAGTGAGAGTTTAGTGTAACTTACCAGTACAAGTGAGAAACAGAATTTCATAAGATATGACAGCAATGTAGATTTTCATCTTGTGGTCTTATATAGGACGTATTTATAAATATTGTTGAATAAGTACTCCCCAAATTACTTTTTCTGTATTCACCATCAGGTCACATAGTAGAGTAGTTCATTAATTTCTTGTTGTTTTCCGTTTTGCAGTTAATGTTCACATAAAGAAGAAACCGTCATGTGACACCAGTACCTCCTAAAATTGGTCAGTGTGGTTAGATGGTTTAGAGGAAAAAGGAACCTGTTCCACAGGGCTGTGACTGACCATTTTGGGCTGCCATGGAGGGAAGCACATTGAAAGATGTAGATCCCCTCAGAGAAGTTTTCCATTTCCCTGAAATTAAAGATCTTCAGATGACTGCAAATAACATGAGGATATGTAGAAAAACGCCCTTCCCCAGTTTCCAAATCGTGAAAATTTGGCTCAGCAGATACTACATATTTCTGTTTGTAGTTGTTTATAAAACAATAAAGACATACCTTTTAAAATCAATCACAGTCCTTAGATAAATTCCTCCCATTCTTCCTCCCCAGACTCCTGTCCATTCAGAGTTATGTCTCTGAATTCAAATTTAATAAAACACTGAGTTCCCCTCAGAAGTAAATAGTGCATTTCCTAGGAGTGTCATTGCCAATTGCAAAGGCAGAGCAGTAGTTTTCAGTGTTGCAACACAGAGCCTGCAGCAATCTGGAGGCTGTGGCTGTGATTTCAGTCTTTGGGGGACAGTTAGGAAAGTAAAGCTGAGGCCAAAGATAAATGACACGTAGAAAGAAACAGAGGACTGTCCAGATCTCATAGGAGGAAGGGAGCGGTCCTGAGAGACCAGAGCTAGGCAGGCAGCTGTCGCTGAGAATGGAACTTAGTGATCTGCCTTGGGGCCAGAGTGCTCGGTGAGAACTCAGAGGACTCGGAAACAGGCTTGATAGCAGTATGACTTTTAATGCTAATCTCTGCCTTCTGGTGATTTCCTGACCTAGTCCAGCACTTTAGAGCACTCTAGGGTTTGATCTCATTAATAACTTGGAAATGCAGCCATCTTTTTGTTAGAAAGAAATTATTATGTATCCAGAAAGAAAGCAGGTTGGAAAACACTAGTGTTTCCACGTCTTTGATAGATTTGAGTTCGGGGAATCATCTCATTGGCTCCTTTTCAGCCACATGTGCCTGCCTTCGCATCCCCACCCCACCCCAGCCCACCCCACCCCGTGAGGTTAATGCTTCACACAGAAGGATGGTAGAACGAAGTGGGGCAGTTTCAATGAAAGGGAGCATTAAGCAGAGCTCTGCCTCTTTCCTTTGTGTACGTATCTGGTAGAACATAACTTAATGGATTGTGCCTCCTCCTTCCCTCAGTGTACTCCCATGAAGTCCCTAAAGAATAAGTTTATCCCGTAGCAATCTATGGTATGGTGTCATATTGGGAGTCTTGAGCCGAAAAGCACTTTCTCACGGTGTATTGATGTAAGAGCTTCCAGCTGTCCAGAGCGCAAGAGCCAGCGCCATTCCCCAGAGGGTTGCTATGGGAACACTGTTATGGCAACTGGTTTTCATCACAGACTCTGCAGTTCCATTGGCTGAACCATAAGTACACGCTAGTCCTTTAATAGTTAACAGTAACCTTAAAATCATTTGAAATTTAAAAATAATTTCTGGTGGTGTGGAATAGCTAGGGAGGGCAGTGTGGCCAGCCGCGCAGCTGTGGTGTGAGTTGACCCCATTCAGAATGTTAGAAACGTGCTCATTTAAAAAAACGATGTATTTTTACGTTGACCAGAACAATTTATCATGAAAGCACTGATTATTTATTTTCCCCCATTGTAAACTTTATACAGCTTGCTTAAACGAATCCTCGTGTTGCCTCTAATGGTCACTCTCACTGGCCACTTCCTTCTGAGTCTCTTCTTCCCTGTCTGTAAGCATCAACTTCCTCAACTTTTTCTCACAGTGTTCAAGCTTAACACATAATTTTACCGACGAGAGCAGCTGAGAAGTTTCGAGCTGCCTTTTAGTGATCTCAGACTCATTCACTGAGCTTCAGACCGGGACAGTCAAGAGTCACTCCTGCAACCGCCGTCCTGGCCTTTCTCAACTCCCAGTTTTACAACTTGCCAAAACTAAATTGCCCTTGTTGTCAACTGCTTTTCCTTTCAGACTTAGGTGATGTTAGGACCCATGAGCGTTGCAGTTTGAGCCTGCCTTTCTAAGTTTGGCCATCCTAGGAAGTAGAAGTGTAAAAGATGTAGAATTTGAAACTTTTGGACCACAACTCAAAACAAGTACATGGAGACCCAGTATTACATGTACACAGGCACATCTACCTGAAACAAAGCCTCCGGCCGTACCTTATGCAAGGCGCATTCTTATGTTTTCTAATCTGTTGTGTTTCTTTTTAAAAATATGCTGGTGGTTATCCTCAGAATTGGTTGACAGGTCATTCATGTATGGTGGTCAGCAGTTTGAAAACCACTGATCTTTTTTTTTTAAATTTCAAACTTTTATGTTAATTTCAGGGGTACATGTGCAGGATGTGTGGATTTATTATATAGGTAAACATATACCATGGTGGTTTGCTGCACAGATCATCCCATTACCCAGGTATGAAGCCCGGCATCCACTAGCTATTCTTCCTGATCCTCTCCCTCCTCCCACCTGCCATCCTCCAACAGGCCCCAGTTGTGTTGTTTCCCCTGAGTGTCCATGTGTTCTCATTGTTCAGCTCCTACTTACAGGTGAGAACGTGTGGTATTTGCTTTGCTGTTTCTGCTTTAGTTTGATAATGGCCTCCAGTTCCATCCAAGTCCCTGCAAAGAACATGATCTCATTCCTTTTTACGGCTGTGTAGTATTCCATGGTGTATATGCACCCCATTTTCTTCAATGATATCCAGTCTATCATTGGTGGGCATTTGGGTTGATTCCATGTCTTTGCTATTGTGAATTGTGTTGCAGTGAACATACACGTGCATGTGTCTTTATAATAGAGTGATTTATATTCTTTTGGTTGTATAACCGGGAATGGGGTTGTTGGATTAAATGGTATTTCTGTCTCTAGGTCTTTGAAGAATTGCCACACTGTCTTCCACAATGGTTAAACTAATTTACACTCCCACCAATAGTATAAAAGCGTTCCTTTCTTCTCTGCAACCTCGCCAACGTCTATCACTTTTTAATTCTTTGATGATAGCCATTCTGACTGGTGTGAGATGGTAGCTCATTGTGGTTTTGATTTGCGTTTCTGTAATAATCGGTGATGTTGAGCTTTTTTTCTTACGTTTGTTGGCTGCATGTATGTCTTTTGTGAAGTGTCTGTTCATGTCCTTTGCCCACTTTTTAATGGAGTTGTTTGAAAAACCACTGATTAAAGCAATTATCAGTAGAATTAAAGAAGGAAATGACCTGTTAGATGAATCTGGGACAAAAGGACTATAGTTCTTTTTTGATTTTTTTTTAATATGGAGATAACACTCTCAAGGTTAGTGTGAAATTTAGCAGATTATAGAACCTTAAGTACTTCAAAATGCTCAATACTTCTGCAGTAATATGTAATTCTTAAGTTTAAAATGAGGAGACGTCCATGGAAGAATTGAGCAAAGCAACTCGTAAGCCATCTGTTAGAAAATTGGCAGTATGTATAGGTGATCACCTTGGGTTGGTTGCACATTGTTGGATAAAGCAAGATTAAACGAGGTATTACAAAATAAATGGGAGATCAGTTAAAGTACAAGATAGGTTTGGCTGGGTGTGGTGGCTCACACCTGTAATGTCAGCACTCTGCGAAGCCAAGGTGGGCAGATCGCTTGAGCTCAGGAGTTTGAGGCCAGCCTGGGCAACAGGGTGAGACATCATCTCTACAAGAAATACAAAAATTAGCCGGGTGTGGTGGCGCGCAAGTGTTGTCCCGGCTACTTGGGTTGAAGTGGAAGAATTGTGTGAGCCCAGGAGGTCGAGGCTGTAGTGAGCAGTGATCACACCGCTGCGTTCCAGCCTGAGTGACAGACTGAGACCCTGTCCCAAAAATAATTAAGTAATTAATTAAGTATGAGATAGGTTTGGGGCAAGAAGAGTTGCAAGGAGTCTAGTGTTATGCATCAAGTGTCTGTTGAGAGGACAGTGGTTTGGCCCTTTGAAAATTATTTCCTAAGACTCAGTGCTAAATTACATTTCTTTGAATGTAAATTTTCTTATTGGCAGTATAACATACAGTATACATACAGAAAATCACTAGAGTACCACATCATGATAGGTTTTTCACAAAGTAAACAAAGTAACTAGCACCCAAATCAGAAAAGGTAACTGTTATTAACTCCCCAGAAATCTCTTCATGCCCTCTTCTAGTCATAGCCATGGTCCTAATTTCTAACATCATAATTAAAAAAAAAATCTTTACGGACGTGTAAGTCCCATACCATTAGTTGTACCCATTTAAAGTGTACAAAGGTTTTTAGTATATTCAGAGTTATACAACCATCACCACAGTCTTAGGATGCTTTGATCATTCCAAAAAAAGAACCTCGTTTGCCTGTGTTTAAAAATTTGCCTGTCTATAAATGGAATCAAACAGTATGTGCTTGACTTCTTTCACTCAGTGTAGGGGTTCTGATACTTATTCATCCCCACTGTGTGTAGTTGTGGTTTTTCAGTCTTCTTGATGCGGTCTCTCACAATTTATTCTACTGATGATGGACACGTGAGTTGTTTCTGGTTTTTGCATGTATGTTTTATATGTGTTTCTTGGTGAATATAAATTTCTATATTTATATTCACAAGAATATATACCAAGGTATGAAATTTCTGGGACATAGGGTATGTATAAACTTGGCCATTAGAGTTACTGTCAAAGAGTTTTCCAAAGGGCTTATACCAGTTTACACAGTCCCACAGCAGGATTTGAGAGTTGCAGTTACTCTGCCTCCTTGCCACACTTGATATATCCTCTGTCATTTTCATTTTAGCCCTTCTGGTAGTCAGAATGCTGTCACATTGTGGCTTTAATTTGCATTTCTCTAATGACTAATATAGTTGAGTACCTCCTTTATATGCTTAATGGCCATTTGGATATTATCTTTTGTGAAGTTCCTGTTCAATACTTAACTTTTGTCCATTTTTCCCCTACTGAATTGCCTGCTTTTTTCTCACTGATTTGATACTTTCTGATTTGAATACTTTCTGTATTCTGGCTAGATATCTGTATTGCAAATAAACCTCTCCCTCGGTGGCCTCCCTTTGTGCCAGGTTACTTTTTATGCATTGGAGAAATAATCTTATGACTGACTCAGATACTGACATAACCTTTGCCAACTATCTTTGCCTGATAGATTTTAAAAATCAAATCATATGTCAAGCTTAAATAACAATTCTTTCTCTTGTTCTCTTGTTTAATGATGTCATCATAGTAGCATGTTTAAGAGTGTAAGATTTGTGAGAAGAGGAAATTATGTGAATGTTTGCCCTTTTTTTGTTAAATGTTGTATTGGATTATTTCGTTTGAGACATGGCTACTTTTGTTTTGCTTCTTTTGTTGTGCAAGTTCATGTTCTATATGTGTGGTGTAGACACTACTAGTTGCTTACCCAACTTTCATTCTCTCTCATTCTCTACTAACAGAGCCCTAATTTGTTTAGAACTGTAATATGCACAGTTAAAACAACTTGTCCTCCCAGGACCTTTTGCAGTTAGGGTTGGTCATGTGACGTGGTCCTGCCAAGAAGATACAGATACAGGTCAGTGGGTGAGTGGGACTTCCTGGAAACCTGTTGCTTTTCTAAGAGAAAGACTTAGCTGACATACATATTTTGTCCTTTGCCTGTGATCATGATGCGTAGATGCTTGGTGGCCATCCTGCAATCTTGACAATGAAGACGTGCTAAAGATGGCAGAGCAGAAGATAAAGCTTGGTTTTTTTTTTTTTTATGGCATCATGAAATCATTTTGTATAAAACATGAACTGCTCTTTTAAGGTTCTACAGAAAAACAGAAGAGACAGGTGATAGAGAGGGAGAAAGAAAGTTGTTGTGGGGAAGGGAGAGAGATTTATTATAAGGAATTGGTTGATATAGTTATGGAAGCTGAGAAGTCCGGTGATCTGCACCCTGCAAGCTGGAGACCCAGGAAAGCTTGTGGTGTAGCTCCTATCTGAATCCAAAGGCCTGAGAACCAAGAGAGTCAATGGTGTAAGTTCTAGTCTAAGTCCAAAGGCCTGAGAACCAGGAGATCTGATGTTGTAATTCTAGTCTGCAGGCAGACTGGAGTGTAGAGAGAGCTAATTCTCCTTTACCCCACCTTTTTGATCTATTCAGGCCATCAATGGATTGAATGATGCCCGTGCGCATGAGGAGGGCCGTCTGTTTACTCAGTCTACCAATTCAAATGTTAATCTCATCCAAAAACATCCAAGATACGTTTGGGAGTTTCACCAAGTATTTGGGTACCATATTCCCCAGTCAAGTTGACACAAAATTAACCATCACAGCTGCCTTCCTCTGGGCCTCATGTTATATGAGAACAGTATTGGGTAAGCTCCCACAGTTGGATTTCCCTTATATTTTGTTGAACTCAGTCCCTAAGTAATATATGCATTACTCAAACTTACTGACTTTCAAAATCACTAAGTCAAACTTATTGACTTTCAAAGTCACTTTCAAAAGTGACTTGTGGCAAGTGTGCCATGGTGCTGAGGTCTTTGTTAATTTCAACTGGAATAAAATCGGACTTTGCCACATCCTCCTAAGATAAAATAGGTATGATAGCATTTATTTGAATTGGTTATGTGGATGTTGGTACATTGTGATTTCAGTTACAGAAAAGCCACAGATGGAACTGATGTTAAAAGCACCTCAAGGACAACCAGGGACTAGAGCAGATGCCAAAAGGAGTTCTGCCCTGTCATCAAGATTCTGAATCACTCAATTTATTGGACAAAAGCATTTAGCTCTGATTCCTCTTGCATTCTCTCTAAATCTCCATCAGAATAAGAAGAGACTTTGAGAGAATTAAACTGTCTGCTGAATATCTGTTACAGATGTGAAAGATACTTGAGAAAATACATGATTGTGATTTCATCATTTTGGGAAAAGCAGCTTGATATGCTTTGACTTGTTATTACTACAATTCCTTCTGAGATAGCAACTCACGTTACGCTAACATGGGCCAAAAAAAATTGCTTGTGTTTTTGTCCTTTATAGAGTTTTTTAAAAATTAAAAAGCTACAAATTAGTTTGTTTTAAATAGTATAGCAGTAGATTTTAGAGGTCTCTTTGAGATTTTAGAGCCTGTTCATCCCTTAATTAGGAATTTCTAGCCAGGACTCAGAGAGGATAAGGGCCCAATTTCTGGTCAGTAGGGGTGCTGGTTGTGAGGCTGTTGTCTCAGCTCCAAACATATCTTCACACTCTGCTTTGTCATGAGACTCTGCAAACCACATCTGTCCTTTGCTGGAGAGCTTTTTGTTAGGGTCCACCAGGATTGGACACGAGAGACTGGAACCTGGAGGCGGGAAGAAGGGAGCTCCCCCTTTCTGTTTGCTTTCTGTTTCTAACAACGATGGCACAGCCGTGGTTCTCCAGAAGCTAAGCAGTGGCTGTTCACTCCTGGAGGAATAGTGGGTTCCAGGGTGCAGTTTTCCACACTCGTAGAACAGCGTCATCGCTCCACTCGAAGATCACAGCACCATCAGCCGGTGCCCCTCCTCAGAGGTTTGAATCCGAGCACTGTGGAGTCCCCACATTTCTGAGGTGCCAGTACCAGGAGAGTGGTGTCGGCTCCTGAGAGGTTTCACTCCCAGCTCCTGGAAAAGCTTCCACATTTGAATGATCCCAGACTTGCCTCTGGTTCCCAGCCCTAAGTGTGGTGACTTCCTACTGCGGTTCTCTCTGTGATACCTGAGAGTCCCCTTTTTGCCTCCCACCTCTTGACTATCTGGTTGACGGTTGTTTTTTCAATCATCTCCCTTAGAATAATTGCTGTGGTCTTGGTTCGAGATAGAACAGGCACCCAGGTTTTCAGCTCCTGGAAAACAGCCATGAGACCCAGGTCCTCTTCTATGCAATCCCAAGCTCAGGTGAAATTTTCCACTAGCTTTCCTCAACACAACATAGGGATCCCTCCCTAGATGATGTGATTCACCCCCATGGGGATAGCTGCAAGATTAGGGGAAACTAATGTTTTACCTACACCCTGGTCATAAAGACCTCTCCTTGCTCCCTCCTTCACTCCCACCCTGCTGTTCCTCAGTCTCCTCGAGACCTCTGTCCATTCAGTCTGTTTTCTCCTACTTAATAGCACCTTCTCAGCTTCCATTTTCTCTTTATAAAGTCAGTCTGGATCCCATTATCATCATTTCAGTCACCCTCCAGTCCCTTTTGCTCTCACATGCTTTTGTTGTCCTGCCACACCCGATGACAGCACCCAAGCCAGAATCATTCCAACCTCTCTCCTCCCGTGCTCTGACATGACGGTAACTGCTCTGGAGAAAATTCACAATCTAAGCGTCCGATATCAGCCAGATCCTGCCTGCCATAGCTCTCCTGATACCTCTGCTCTCTCCTGATCCTACCCTGCTGCCTCCTTTTCATCTCACTTGGAGGGTGGCCTCACCTACCCTTCTCATACAACTTGAATATGGAGGCAATCTTAAGGGTCTATTTCTACCTCCAAACCTACCAGCATCTTGTCTTACTTGATTTGGAGAAAAAGCTGTTCCTCCTTCTGTCATAGGCTAAATCTTCCACTGGCCTGCTTTCTTATCTATTATGTTATCTAATTTACTTTCTATTGGCCCCCTCCACTTCCAATGTAATTTAAGTCTTATAAGGGCAGGGAATTTGCATCTGTTTTGTTTGTGCAGATGTGAGGTGTGGGGAAAGGAAAGCTGATGAAAAAGAAAGCTTGAATGATTCCAAGAGTTTTGACCTGAGCACTGGAAGGCCTAGAGTTGCCTGTAACTAAGCTGGGTGGGGCCATTCATGGTGAGGTTTGGAGGGGACAGTCAGGAGTTTAGTTCAAGACATGTTAGCACATTAGACATCCACGTGGGGATGTTGTGTAGGCAATGGGATGTGCAACTTTTAGAGAGGTCTAGGATATAGGGATAAATATAGGTGTCATCATTGTAAAGATGGCATTTAAAGCCATGAGACTAGATGGGAAGTTTAAGGAGTAGTTGTCAATAATAAAGGGAAGGAGTCTAAGGACTGAGCCCGGGGACATTCCAATGTTAAGAAGCCAGGGAAGAAAAACTACCAAGGAGATTGAAAAGGAGAGCCCTGGACTGCGAAACCAGGTGGAAAACCAGGACAATGTGGCATCCTGACATCTCAGTGAAGGAAGTGTTTCAATGAAGTGTCCCACTTCTTCACACCCCAGAAAGTGTTGCTGGCAAGTGATATTAAATGAGAACAGCGAGTGAACCATTGGATTTGGCATTGCAGGGAGTTGTCATTGACCTTGGCAAGAGTGGGTTTAGTAGAGTGGGAGGGGATGAAAACATAATTGGAGTGGGTTTAAGAGAAAATGGATAAATGAAGGAGAAAATAATTAGCTTGTGAGGATAAAAATTTATGAAGGTAGAAATGTGTTTCTGATTTAAAAAATCAATCTTGGTGCCATTATAATCCCATGGACTCTTGAGATTACTCTCCACATTGTTTTATTCTTCCGAATGCAGTGCAGGTTCTTCAGCTGTTGCCGAAGTAGATACCGACTTTGCTGGGAGCATGACTTTGTGCAAGGCATAAAGGTTATACCTCTGCAGCTCTTCTACTTTTTCCCTGCCATCTCTGACCACTCAACTCAGGTAACCAATGAGAGATGCCCTGTTGATCTCTTATCCTTGGGAATAATTTTAATCTCTTCCTCCTGTTTAATGTTAGTGTCCTCCTTTCCCCATATATGTGGTTGTGTGCCTGTTTGTCTCATCCATGAGAGTCAGCTTTTAAGAACTGGAACTATGCACCAAATGTGCAATGAAATGACTGTGTTGGAGACCCATTGTCTGCCTGCTGGCTCTCATCAGTGATGACTTCACACTGCTATATTTAGAGAGTTTTACATAGAGCCTTTCTGAACTGGTATTCTGGGAAAATAAAGAGCTGGTTGTTTGCAATATGTTCTACCAGGAGTGGGGTGTTCACTTTGTGTTCTCTAATAATCAACTGTTTGGAATCACTTTTTTTTGGCACAGTGAAAGGGGAGCTAGATAAACAGATTGATAGATGAAGAGGTGAAAAGTAGGAAGGAGTGGGAAAGAAATGGGAAGAGGATCTTCCTATCTACCAGTTGCTTTCCTGTGGTAGAGCTTAATGAGAAGATAATAGGTTAATTTACCGAGCTGTGACATATTTACATGTAAAAGACTTACATGAGGTCCCTTTCCCTTTTTTCAAGTGTAGATGATTTTGAGATGACCTGGTTGCTTCCCCAAGGAGAGGGGCTTCTGGCTCTCCAATGGGCAGTTTTTAGGGTGTAGGAAGTAGAGAACACTCTCTTGGTGGGCTTACATCCAGATGTGATTCTCAGTGGATTGTTTTCCTTTTTGGCAGCATCAACTGGCTCTAGCGGCCAAGGCTTCTGCAAGGCTTCCCATCCAGGAGCTTTTCATCCAGGGATGCTATTGGAGGCCAGACTTCCAGTTTTGCTAGGAAGAGATACCTATTAAGTTAGGGGGCCAGGGATTTGATTGCAGCAGTCGCTATTCAAGTCAGCCAGTCATCATTTCATCCATAAGTCAGGGACTCTGTACTTGCAGTCCCAGTAGGCACTTGCTCTGGTGATGTGATTTAGAGAGTCGGTGGCAGGGTTTGAGCTGCTGTGCGAGCAAAGAGGGTTAATTTAGTCACAGAGAGCCTGAGCAGCCTGTGAGAGTGACCCTCTGCATCCTACATGGAACGAGGGACAACATGGAGAGACTAAAGATGATCCCTCAAAGCCTAGCTTCCTTCATTGCTCCTTCTGCTGTGGACTGTCCTGTGGGGACAGTACACATGCTGGAACATATCACAACATGGGCAGCTGTTTGCAGTGAACAGTGATGCAAAAGCTGAGATAGTATCCTCATAAAGACCTCTAACCTCAAGTCTTTTTTTGTAGTAGGAGGAATACATAATTTAGACAATATTATCTTGTACAGTTAACAAAAGGAAACTAGAGTAAGAGGGAATTTGCCTCTGCTGAACAAACCAAGCTTCTCTATATCATCTAGCAAGGCCATAAAAATACTATCTACAGATTGACTTTAGTAAAGGAGCCCACTGAGGACACAAGCACCTGAATTACAGATTCCCGGAGCACACACAGGCATTTATTGCTGACAGACAAAGAAACAAAATCTCCAGGAGGCAACTGGGATCTTTTCATTTTGAAAATGCTTTAATAAGTGTTGACAACACTGTTTTGCAAAATGTAAAGGTACTATACAAATTCTTAATACAAAAAGAATAAATTAAAAGCAGATTTCTTTTTTAATTCTGCAACTTTGTCTACAACGTACATCTTTTTCATTGTTTACAGTTGAACAGAATCCAGTAAAATCATTTTACATGCTCTACAGTCAGTTTCAGGAGCAACCTAATCTTTTTTCCCCCATTATTAAACTAGACTCCATTTTACACAACTTGTAATAAACTATTGACATTAATGTATATGTAAAACTTTACACCTAGTTAACTAAGCAGTAACTGGTCATCTGATAGCACCTGGATGGGGTTTGCTATATTTAGAACTAAACTAATACTGAATGAAAACAAATTGGAATTTTAACAGTTTCAACACTCACCTGCATATAATAAAATAAAAAATCAACCTGGCTCACAACATAAGTCTGATGTATGAGTTTTCACCAGTCTTCTGGCTGAAACAGGCCATTTCTTTTACGCATCCGAAGAATCCAATAGGGGCTTTATATCAGACCAGGGACTTCATATTTCACCTTATTTTGTTTTAAAGGAATAGGGATAAAGAGTTTGCAAGTGCTTGTGTACAATAACTACATCATTTCCCACCACACTGATCATTAATCATGTCAGTCTCAAAGGACTAACGTTTTATGTACATTTTGTATTAACTGAACTCAGCTAAACAGTAAAACCTGTTTTACTTAATCTCTGTCTTGACTACCAGACTATCATGATGTTTGCTGGAACTGTAATTCCTGTTCCCACTCCATTTCTCTCTGTCCCCCGAATTGAAAACATAACCTAAGTCTTTAGAATTTTTGCCTCTCATTCCTTGCAACTCAAGTGGGCTAGAATCTTGATCTGGTTTTCTCCAGACTAGATTTCAAGCTACTCTGCATGGTGTAGAACCTGTAACCACGTAACCTCATCACCTTCCTTTTCCCTTTTGACTTTTCGTGTTGCACACAGTTCAGTCTGACTCTTCATGAATCTTCTTTGGGAGAAAGAAAAATGGCCCTATGTATCATGTTTCTGAATGGGGAAGGGAGAAAAAAAAAAAATCACTGCTCTTTGTAGCTCTAACCATGAAAATAAAAGCAAAAAAAAAAATCCCCCAATGAATCCCTAGAATCATTTAATAATATCATAACCGGTTTCTATTTGTCCTGCAGGTGTACACTTAAAGCGTTCTGGGAATATTAATCCCTTCTGCATGCTGGAATCACCAGTCTAGCCATGCATGGAGCTGGGGAAAGCAGGCCCTGAATCGCCTACAGAGACTTGGTGGAGGAGGCCATGGCCCGCCTTGTCCCGGCCAGGTGTGTGCACCCCAGCTGGACTCTCGGTGGTCTCCAGGCTGCAGCAGAAGGAATACCTTGGTATTTATTTCGTTTTAGTATCCATCCTTACCCTCCTGGTCTGGTACAGCCTATGGTTATTCTTGGATTCCACATACATGAAAAGCGAAGATTTTTCTTTTCTTTTTATGCTTAAGCTAACTTCAGTTCTGCTTTCCCACAAAACTACTCCCACCCTGGCTCCTGTCCCTGGCTGTCAATGTCTTTCCAATAGGAAGTCATTAGAGTGAGAAAAAAATTCCACCCCCACCCCCCACCCCCCAACCACTTGTGCCCAAAGCACAGCAACACCACCTCTGCGGAAACCTTTTTGTGCCATCTTGAATAACCCAACTAAAGTTGTGCACTTGTTATTATAAAAGTATTTTTGAGGCCTTTGAAGATTGATGGCTTTCCAGTTGTGTTTGAAGTGTAGCTTAAAACACATGTAAACGTGCAGCTCCCACACATTAATTTTTGTCTTCTTTCCTCTTTTGGTATCTGCACACAAATGTGGTGCATGACAGTAAGTGATGATGTGGACACATGGGCCCTTTGGGAGCTGGTATTTTTTTCAACCCTGCTCTGCCTGTTGGCTAGTAGACACATGAGTCAAATCTTTCTACCTAAGGGCATAGTTGGGTTCTTGGAATAAGTGACACATGGGAGAAGTCGGATCTGAGCTCTTTTGTCACACAAGTGCTAACGAACAGAAAATGAGCCACAACAGTTAAACACTGAATGGATCGCAATGTGCTTTTCCCTTGGTTTCCCATAAAAAAGAAAATGAAACACCTTGTGCAAAAAAATAGGATACGCTTTTACTGGTTTGTTTTAATGAGAGAGAACCACTTTTGGCCATTATCACCTTATGTTACTACAAATCCTGAAAGGAAAGCAGCGTTGAGTCTTGGGCTTGGCTGAACCCCCTGCATGGACCGGGGCTAACGGTGCCCTCCATGACTCCTGCGGGTCTCTCTTCCTTTGTGTCCAGATGGATGGCGGCTGTGAGTCGGCAATGCCAGCCAAGACTCCCTCGTCTTCACCGTGGCATTGGGGCAGTTTCTCAGGCCCTCTACGGAGAGAGACGTGGGCCAGTAAGGGAGAGGGCTAGAGAGAGGACACCAGTTTACACAGGGTTGACTTACACTTATGTGTAGTAGTAGTTCAGAATTTAAACGAAATTTCCTTGCAGAAAGAATGTCTTCCTCTTGGCCCCTCTTAATTTTTTATGTTTTTATTTATTTTTAATCTTTGGCAGCATAGAACTGATCGTGGTCCTCCGATGCATCTCTGGTGTCGAGAGCTTCCTTTCTCATCCTCCCCTTCCCCCACAGCCACTCCCCACAAGCTGTCCCATCGAGGAATATTTCAGGTGTAAACTGAATATGCCACGAGGCCTCCTCTTCATGAAGTGCTTGATTGGCCTACGTACGGGTGGCAGGCTGGACACAGCTGACCGTCTTTCTGGGTCACCCTGTAACTCAAGTCCCCTTTCTTGTTCTCTCCCAATGCTACTTGTCCGCAGGAATTGGATGCCAGCCGGCCCCCCTGACGGTTCCTGGCCTAGGGGCTGTCATGGCAGAGGGAAGCCACCAAGGTGCCATTGAGGATTGGTGTCTGGCTCTCCATAGGCAAGAGCGCCAGGGGACACACAGTGGGACCGGAACCTTCCAAAGTGTCTCCTCAGTCAGGTTTTCGAGGGGGAGGGAATGCGGAGACAGGAGAAAAAAAGTGCTGAGGGCCGAAGCTGGTGCAGGGTGACGGTGCGTCTGGGTAAGGCAAATGAGAGGCAGTGAGGTGATCTCAGAATGGCGTTGAGGCGGTCAGATTAGGCCGGGCTGGCTCACACGAGGGTCCCGGGCTTGGCTTTTTCCTGCCCGTACCACTGGACATCAGCTAGTTCTGGATAGAGGGAGGAATCCAGGAAACAGCTATCATTGTAGCTCCTGTGGGAGGCCCAAGAAAGGAGATGAGACAGTTAGTGGAGGAGGATGGGCTCAGCCAGGCCTAGACTGAGAAGGATGTGTTCACCTTGACAGGGCCCTGTGCTAATCACGAGTCTTTCCTGTTCAGAGCAGTGAGGCCTGAGACCCTCAACAGTGCTGCCAGAAGGCCTGCCAGAAGGCCCCAGAATCCACACAAAGGGGCCGCCTGAAACCTAGAGCATTTGTGAAGAAGGAAAACATAAGGTAATGCTTACTCAGTGCGCTGGTTCTTCAACGTGGCTGCATCCAGGGAGCACCTGGGAACTCTCAGAAATACTCATGCCTGGGCCCCGCCTCGGGAGACAATGGCCTAATTGGTTTGGGGTGTGTTTGAGCGCTGGGAGCTGCCAAAGCTCCCACCAGGTGATCCTCAGATGCAGCCGAAGCCAGACCCTCCGGGCTGTCCTCAGGGGACTTTTCCCACGGGACAGCTGCCGGGGTTGTCCTCCGTGAGACCCCAGGGCTAACCAGATGTCACTAGGACATTTTCATTCTGTCCTGGAAGAACATTCGAAATGTGAGGTTTCCCTATAGTGAAACTGTGGTGGTATTTTGAATTGTGTTTTAAAAGTTTAAATGGTGACGTTGCTTTATTCTAAATAACATGTATTGTTTTGTAATTATAAAAGTGTGTTCATTTAAAATATACAGGAAAGTCTATAGAAGAAAATAAAAGGCTTTTTTTTTTCTTTTTTTAAGTATTTTAGGTTGGTATCACCATTTAGGTTGGGTAGAAGTAATTCTTAAATCTCGAGAAGCAATCATAGATAGGTGGAAGCCGATAGTCATTACTAGGGATCATGATTAGGAAAAACAGCCTCTCTCCAATGATCCTGAATGAGCCCGTTGAATTCGTCTCCTGCAACTGATCTCCCCGTGGGGAGTGCTAGGGGAGTGGTGAGGGATGGGTGACAGGAGGGGACCCTAACCCAATGTAGTTCGGAGCAGGTGAGTTTTAGGAGCATTTCAGTACCAAACACAGCTTCACGACTGAGAATCAGCAGTCATCCCCAGCTTTGTTTCATTTGCTAACCTCTCTAGGAACAACTGGATGTTGTAAATGTTTCTTATCTGGCCTGAAAATCCACGAAAGCTGGAAAATCCCAAGGCATCTGTGCACATACTGGTGGATTTTAATGAGAGTCCTGTGCTTGGAGTACCAGAAATAAACCAGCTTCAGAAGTAAAGTAAGAAAAGGCCCTTGATTATGACACTGGCCACGGGTATTACTATATGTAGGTGGTAAGTGGACGTTTCTGGGACATCTGTCCTGCAAACTTTCTTTCCACCCTAAGCTGACTTTTGAAATTGTGCGTGACTGAAAAACTTCTAAGGGGAGAGGTGGTTGGGCCCTCCAGGGGTCCTGTGTTTCTCCTAGGGGGACAATCTCTCCCTAATTCCATGTGGTCCTGGTGGTGCTCTCCACCATGCTGCCATCCTCACTCCCGGGGGGACCAGGGGACAAGGAACCCAGTGGGGCCGGGCCAATGAGAGTCCCCCGATCACAATCCCTGGTTCAAAGATGGCCATGTGCCTGAGCAGCTTTGAAACCACAGAGATGTCATTTCCTCCCGAGAATGAAGTTAACAGGAGGAGGAAGCAGAGCTAGAGATGGAACCAGACCCAGCCAGCCCAGGCTCCAGTGACATCAGCCGGTACATGCTCTTGTTTGCTTATGCTTGTTAAACTGAGTTTTTCATATGTAACTAACAAATACTGGCACATGTAAGTAGTTTCTTAAACTGTTGATGAAATGTTTGTTTCTAACACGAACATGATCTGGGTCTGTTTGGGACAAAACTTCCCTAAGGGGCTTCATGAGATCTAAGGAACCACTGTAGCCAGTGTTTCCCAAAGTAGTCCTGTGAGTTGCTCTGAGGGGAAAAAAAAAGGTTCCATGGATAAATACATTTGAGGAGTCTGCCTTTCAGAGGCCTGAAATGTAAATGTATATATTAAAGGTTCTGAGAAGTCCTGGATTACTGTTTGCCCCAGAACTTCTGGAACAGTATCACCTATGAAGATCCACAGAACACACTTTGAAAAACACTCTCAAATAGGCTAATATTATACAATGAGGTTGACTTATCTTGTATGTTGGATCCTGAACAGTTTCTGGTTCAAACTATTACTGTTAAAGTTGAGTAATAATTGTGACAATATAACCTGCTTCACAGGGACTACAAGTCCACTATGTATTGATCATAAAGGCTCAAGGGGAGACCACCGAGTTCAAAGCAGTGACTGGATAAGGCAGTAGATGAGATTAAGGGTTCCTGTGGTGGTTTATTCGGTATGTGAAGAGCCTAACCCTTAGCCTAACCCTGTGCTGTTCTCCTTCTGGGTCATAGAACCCATACATGACAGGGCATTGGGATCTGGATGATGGGGTGGGAGATGCTGGATTGGTGGTTTGGTTCTCAGGTGGCTCCCCGAGGGGCCACAGTATGGAAACCCTGGCCTGCTCCTGCCTTGGAGGAAACTAGAGCTGGAGGAAAAGAGGTAAAGATGTATTTTTCCAAAATTGTGATGTCTTAAACACAGAATCTTTCTTAGTGCTTCCCCATCATTACTGAAGTATGTAAGGTAGTTTTAAAGCTATAAATGTTGCTTCATGTATTGGTCTCTTATTCTCAAGTTTATTCTCAAGTTGGGGGAAGAGACCCTTGTTCTGGCTGCTCAGCTAAGCCTTTCAGTACAAATTCAATTTTAGGGTAATAGTCAAGGAATGCCATGTGCTACGAAAGCAAAATTAATGAGAGAGACCATTTAGGAAGCATTTATTCTTCATGAATAATACAAATGGGGCCACTAAATAGTTGCCCTAGTAAAGCTAAGTCCGTCATTCACTGGACCATGAGCTGGGGCAGGATGAAGATGTAGCTGTGCTCTTTAAACTGTGACCCAGCAGAGCAGCTTAGCACTGGGCGGTCTGGGTCACAGAAGTGACAACGTCAGAATCTGTGAGGGCCAGTGCCTGTGGGGGCTTTCCACAGGAAGAATGCGCTTTCCCAGCACTATGCTCAGAGACATGTGGCCTGCAAATCATACTGGCCAGGGGCCCTCTGATACCAGACAGATGGCAAATTCACCCACATCTCACAGGATTGTGTGGTTTATAAGTGCTTGGCATAGGGAGGTGGGGCTGCTGGGAGGGAGGAATTTCAAACTGAATTATTTTTGTAAATGTGTAACTTACAAAACAACTGGTAGCACATCTTGGGTTGTTGAATAGTCCTGCAGTTGGGGACGAGGCCCTCTAGAGGCATCCTGTCTTACCTGGTCTGGGAAGGTGCTGTTGCTCAGTATATGTAGGTGTGTCCCTGCATGTGCACACATGTATGCATGTAGATATTTCAAGCAGATGTGCCTACATTTCCACAGCAGCTCTTTCAAACCTGGTTAATTCTAGTTCTGGCTATCATCCCTACCTCCATCACCTTAGCAGATGAGATGATTGGCCCTCCCATACTGGGGGAGAAAAAGGCCATTCTTCCTACTTCAAAAATACTGCTCTCAATACTGCTCTCATGACATCATCCTATCTCAAAATCTCTTCTTTTTTCTGGCACTGGCCGGGGGGTGGTCTACCTTCCTTCCAAAGCCTAAGTCCCTGTCCCCTGATTCCCCATCTGCCAACTTTGCAATATTGTCCGTGCTTATCAAAAGTCCAGTTTTTTCTCTATGGGAAACAAGACTCTCTGTTAACCACCCCTGACCCTTGTCTGTGCATCCGTGTTTTTGCACTTGGAATGGTCTCTCCCTGTCTCAACCTCCTCCTCCCACCGCAGGCTTCTGAGCCAGGCTCACATAACATCTCCGTGAACTCAAAAGTGACCCTTGCATTTCTGAATCCTCTCAGCGTTTTGTTTCTAAGTCTTAGAGCACTGAATACATAAGTGTGGTAGTTTCTCATGCTCCTCGTATATCTCCTGATAGACTGTAAGGGTCCTGGGGCTAGGAACCAGACCAGGTGTTTTCTGCCCCTGTGCTTTGCAAATTTCGACATGCATTTTATTCACTCAGGAATCTTGTTAAATGCACACTAGGTTCAGTAGGCCAGGGTGGTGCCCAGAGTCTAACTTTCTAACGAGCTCCTGGGTGATGGTGGTAGCAATAAAAATGCTGGCTTATGGACATTTCGAAAAGCAGTGCTCATAGCCTTTGGTACTCAGCACAGCTGTTAAGAATGCTGGGATGAAATGATGGGGGTGCTTCTGGATCAACTCAGTCTGCCCTTGGTGCTTTGAAACTTACATTGCAGTGATGCTGTTCTTTTCAGGGACACTGATTACTAACAGTAAAATGTGTACAAATATTTGAATATAGGTAGAACACAGTGAGTCTAAAATATACTTTGGGGCCAGGCACACAAGGTCAGGAGTTCGAGAGTAGCCTGGCCAACATGGCGAAACCCCGTGTCTACTAAAAATACAAAAATTAGCCACGTGTGCACCTGTAGCTACTAGGGAGGCAGGAGAATCGCTTGAACCTGGGAGGCAGAGGTTGCAGTGAGCCAAGATCATGCCACTGCACTCCAGCCTGGGCAACAGAACAAGACTCTGGGAAGCAGTGTTGGGAATATCTAACATCTGATGTAAGTATCTGGAAATAAGGCATAAATACAGCATTCAGATGTATCCTTGTGGAAACGGTGACACGGAGAAAAGCAACACACATGCAGCACATGTGGGACCACAGACTCATGGGCAGTAGGAACAAAACTCCTCTTACGGTACCTCTATTCATCAGTACTTTGGTGAGGTGGAGACTCAGACCCATCCAGAATGGGTGAGTTTTCTGTTGCTTCTCTGAACAAAGGAAAGCAGGAAGAGGAAGAGAAGAGAGGTCATGTTACAGAGAGAAACTGACACAGACACGATTAGCAGCTTAGTAATACATCCGAAAGGCCCACCGATGATACCTGAGTTAGCAACAGATCATACAAGTCATGCAGTACTTTTTGAGTCAAAGACGTAATTTGTTAGGAGGGATGGGCCCTCTTTGGCACTTTTTACCCTGGCCTCATTTCGTGTCACATCATAGCAAAGAGTTTACGCAAGAACCAAAATAGCTGTTTTGTTTCAGATTTGTCTTGAGTCCTCACTAGTTGTAGATGGTGAAATAGGCAAGTTTCAAGACCATCTTATATGCGTAGGACCCTGAGGAGTGCTTGTACATTTCAGAGCCTGTTGCCAAATACAATCATATATTTGGATCGGGTGAGACTGGGCATGATTCAGAAAAGATCTACAGAGGGATCTTAAGTTTCTTGTTTAGTCACTGGAGGTATGTATTATATATATGAAAGATGTGTCATTCTTTTATGAGCTAATCTTGGTGAGACTCTTAGACCCTAAACCTTGCAGAGGCTGCCTGGCCACACAGGTGAGAGCTGGGGTGTGGGTGGTACGTGAGTGGGTGTTAATGATCGAGTTAAGGACAGAGGGGCAGCTACTGCCCGACAGACAGCCCAAGAAGTAGAAGTAGACACAGGAACAGCGAGTTGGGGCTCCAGTTTCCCTTATTTTAAAAGGAATTAGAGGCAGCATGGGATTGGTCAGTGATGGTCAAACTTGAGTGTGTGTCAGCATCACCTGGAGGGCTTATCAGAAAGCAGCCTGCTGGGCTCCACCCCCAGAGTTATGGATTTTTTTAGGTTACAGGTGAGCCTGAGAATTTGCATTTCTGATAAGATCCTGGGTGAGGCTCTCACGTGCTGCTGCTTTGGGACCACACTTAACTACCGGTATAGTGGGAAAAGACAGGGTTTGGGGTCACAGAGGGCAGAGCTAGGATTCCAGCTCCCTCCAGCTGTCAGACTTTGGGCCAGGCACTTAGTTCCTCTGAGCCTCATCTATGAAACTAAAACGTCTGGGTATTTCTGTTGCCAGGGGACGATAAGGATTATATGAGCTGTGTGTTAGAAGCTGCTCCTAGCCTTTGAGTACACAGCAAGCACTCAGTGTTAGAACCCTTTCTCTCTTACCAAAAATGAAGGCTCCAGAAAACCTTGTGTAAAAAATTACTACAGATAAACCTGCAGGAACAAAAATGCTGGCCAGTGCCTGTAATCCCAGCACTTTGGGAAGCCGAGGTGGGCAGATCACCTAAGGTCAGGAGTTCGAGACCAGCCTGGCCAACATGGTGAAACCCTGTCTCTACTAGAAATTTGCCAGGTGTGGTCATGCACACTAGTAATGCCAGCTACTAGGGAGGCTGACGCAGGAGAATCACTTGAACTGTGGAAGTTGCAGTGAGCTGAGACTGCATTGCAGTCTCGGCAACAGAGTGAGACTCCATCTCAAAAAAAAAAAAAGGCCAAGTATGAGAGCCTGAAAGGCAGGCATTAGAGCCAATTCTGGAATTGTGCTTTTCTCATGATTCAACTTACAGCCAGTTGTCAGATTTTCCCAGACATCCCCCTGATGCTCCACTAAACCAGGAACCAGACAAACCGAGGAAGGGGACTCCTTACTCCTCTAACCAACAGATGTTGACAGAACCTAACATCTACTTAGAGTGATGTCTCAGGGGCAACAGAAGAGGCAGGTGGGTTACCTGTGTCTGCCCGCCCCTCCACTGGGTCAGAACAGCCTCACTGGCCCCGAGATGATAATGCTGTAGGCGAACATGTCAGGCTATCAAAAGAGCCGCCTGTCAGTTTCATTTATTTTGCTGTGTACAGCTTCCGCTGAAGGCTTCAGGGCGCCTGATCTCCTTTGTGTGTTGATAAAGAGCAAGTGCTTGGCCAGGACACAGCCTTTTTTCTTGCACCCTGAGACATCCTAAGACAGTGGCCGTTTCACCTGCCTCTCAGGGTATTTGCTGTCTTCAGCTCTCTTTCTCCCCCTGACATTCGTGCCTGGGTATAATCTCAACTGAAATCAAATGCTGTCTGGAAATCTGACCAAAGAAGCACAGTCCCACTTCCTGCTTCCATCTCCCCACATCCCAAGGACCACCGTCTACTTTAAGAGAACACAGACAATTCACCTCTATAAAGGCACAGCCAGGGAAAGGAGTAGGAAGGGGTGACAGCGGATCATGGGGCTTCTCTTGAAGACACTTCCCAGTGATGAACGCTCATCGTCCATTTACTGACTTATCCTTATGTCACTAGGATCTGAATATCTATGACACTCTTTTGAGCTGACACAGTGAAGAACATGGAAGGAGAACTCACCCAGTCTGCCAGGTTAGGATGTGGTGGGGGCTGCTTGGGGGAGTGGCTCCAATTTCACTTGACGGTGTCGAGCTTCTCTGGCTTTGAGGTAAGGCAGCTATATGCAGGTGGTGCAAGAAAGGCAGAGAGCAGACAGGGATCAGACACAGGTGGAGGAGCTTGTGACCTGTTGGCCGACACCAACCCAGTGGCCAGAGGTCACCATTTCCAGGGATACTGGAAAGGACCCCAGGGCAGGGTCTTGGCATCCCTATGGCATGGTCACAGTGGGGAACCATCTCTGCATCCCACCAATTCTATTTTCTCCCCACTACCATGCACCTTCATTCTCAGTCAAGTTGACCTGGGATCCTAGGTCCCCACTTTGCCACCAGGAAGTGGCCATAGGGATGGTGACAGCTTCAACAGCAGCAAAGAACCTGATGTCCACATAGTCCTTTGAGTGAGACTTGAGCAGGGCTCATACAGGGATGACATATTTCTCTGGCCCCAGGGCATTTTCAGTGTAGCCCCATTGTGAAATTGTTTCTCTCCATTGTGAAGAGAGGGCATCCACAAAGGTTCTCACAGCCTGTTCTCTCTGCTGTTTCAGGCTTATCATTGCTACTGTAGTGCAGTTTGAAGGGAGCAGGGCTTTTAATAGCTCATCCAAACCTGAGCACTAGGCATTTATTGATGTAGGCAGTATGGAAGTCCAGTTGGAAAGATTTAGTAGGAAGTCAATCCTACTTAAATGCATCCTTTGCTTTTTTGGTAATGGAATGTTTTCCATCAGTAAACTTCAAATACAGCTTCTTAAAAATTTTAGTCTAAAATATGTTCCAAAAGATCTACCTAATCTCTTTACATAAAGCAAATCTACTAGACAAGTGCTGCAATTTTGATAGAACATAAACCCTCCTGTTTGGAGATATTTACAACACGTTGGTTCTTTATCTAATAGGGTCACAGATGATCATACTCAAGATCTTCCTGGGGAGTCAATGGCAAATTTCACTGGGCTATTTTACAGATGAAGAAGGAGCATAAAGAAGGTTCTAGGACCTTGAAGTCCATGGAACACCCACTATTGCCTGATCTCTGGAGCTTGTCATTTGGCCAATGGACCCTAATAAACATGTCCACCAGGATGTGGGGACAGAATGCCGGAGCCTGGCTCACCTGGGCAGCCAGGTTCTTCCTCTTTGCCCTGCTGTCTCCAGGCACCAAGAATTTCCTCCAGTTCCCCAAAGATGAACCCCCCATTATCTCAGGTCACTGTTTCCCCTGATCTTTGCCAAATTCCTGACTCAGAGTTCCTCCCATTTGCTTCTGACTCTCATTTTATTCTTACAATGTTTACCATTTCTGTTCTTCTCAGTGTCCCTCTCTGAGTGGTAAGAATATGTTAATAAGCCAGTGCTGTGACCAGAGCACAAGGCAATTGCTCATGTTGGTCACTGTCACTGTTATTAAATGTAACTTAAAGGAATGGGTGGTTTCTTCCATTTTTTTTTAAAACTTGATTCAATACCACCCAATGCTCTTGACTACAAGAATATGAGGGAAATTTTCAGACATACCATCAAGGATATTGAAGACACTTAACAAAAATATAGTTTGTGGCTGTGGCGTATCATCATCAAAAAGGGAAAGCCAGGAGCAGTCAAGAATTCTGTCAAACGCCCAGCTCTGGCACTCTGGTTATTAGCCAGTCTGCCCCCATCTGGGGAGACACTGGCCAAATCTTTAGACTTGACCCAAGCCCATCCCCAACCCAGCTTCCTTTGCAAGCTGCAGCTGTGGGCTTTCACTGGAATACTCTCCTCGCTAGGGTAAAAGACTCACCTTTGGTTGGATAAACCCGGAGACATTACCTAAGTTTCTTAGATTTCTGTCCTTACAAGGAGAAATGGGGGGGCTGGCCCAGTGTACTCTGGAGGATCAAGTGCACCCTTACATGCAAGATTAGGGTAAGAACAGGGCGGGGGCGGGGTAGGGGGTCAACAAAGGCCTGAAAGACCTCAAGTCTCCCGCATCTGACAGCAGAGTTCCCAGAATTAATGACTCCCGTTCCTCACTGCACCCAATTCTAAGGGTACCTCCCGGCAGCAGCCCTTGACACCAGCGAGCAGTTCGCCCCCAGGCCTTCCCACGTGCGCCCGGCCGCCCCTTCTCACCTGACGTGGCCTTGCACATCTGGGGCATCCTGGTGACCCTGCTGTGCGCCACGAAGGTGCTCTGGGAGGAGGTGCTGTACTGCGAGCCGCTGTCTGAGGAGGTGGAGCTGGTGTGCGACAGGCGGCTGTGCTCCTTGTGCGAGGCGGTGGAACGCTGGTACCACTGGCGCAGCTCGTCTGAGACGGCAGCACGGCCCGCGCCCTTGTCGTGGGCACCCTCGCGGCCCAGTGACGGAGTCCGCAGGATCTGCGATCGCGACGGCGTCAGGCGGCCCGTGTCGCCCTCGTCGCCGCCGCCGCCGCCGCGCCAGCTCTCCTTGAACAGGCCGCCCGCCGTGTAGGAGTTGGAGGTCTTGAACTGAGCCTTGACGCTGTAGTGGCCCTCCTGGTCGCTCTCCAGGCTGCGCACCACCACGGGCGTGGCGCCGCCCTCGATGTACAGCGGGTACTCCTTGATGCGGTACTGCGAGCTGGGCTGGCTCTGGCTGTGCAGGTACACACCGCCCCCAGCGCCCCCTGCGCCCCCCGCGCCCCCGCGTGCCGCCAGGTTGGGCATGCTGCCCGAGCTGGCCGAGCCCAGTGCGCCCGCCGCCCGCTGTCGCTGCCTCTGCCGCTGGCGCGCCTTGGACGGCGAGTCCTCGGCCAGCGTGGAGTAGTTGGCGTTCATCTGCGCCGGGTAGTAGTGCTCCGAGCTCGAGTGGCTGGTGCACGACGAGCAGTCGTCCATGGGGTCCGAGCCATTGCTGCTACGAGTCCGCGGGGTGTAGAAGTCGGGGCTCCCGGTGTCGTTCTCCGAGCCCAGGAGCTTGCCCTGGGACTCCAGGCTGGAGCTCCGGTGCCTAAAGTGCAGTGCAAGGCTGTGCAGTCGCGTGGGGCTGATGTCCACCGACCTGCCAGGAGACGGCCCGGGTTGGTCTGGGGGTGGGGGGTGGGCCGAAGGAGGGGTGCTCCGGGGAGGAGGGGGACCTGAGGAGGGCACTGAGGGCCTCCACGCAGGCTCAGGCCCCAGCCCAGCAAGCCAGACTCTCACTCAGCAGGGCTGCCCCGGGGATCCGGGAACTGCCTGTTGTTTCCAGCGAATGAAACTGCCAGTTGTGGCGGGAGGCGAACCTGGCGTCTCCACCTTGATTCCCAGTGGGAAGCGGGACTGAAGCTAGGACTCACAGAAGGGTTTCGATTTTTGAGTTTTTTTTTTTTTTTTTTTTTTTAAGTGTAAAATGATTCTATAGACACAAAGAGAACCACAGAATCATTACTCTAGTATCATGGTTAAACCAGATAGGGCTGGGCACGGTGGTCCACGCCTGTAATCCCAGTGCTTCAGGAGGCTGAAGAATTGCTTGAGCCTGGGAATTTGAGACCACGCTCTGCAACATAGTAAGACCTCTTAGAAAATTAGCTGGGTGTAGTGTTGTACACCCATGGTCCCAGCTAGTCAGGAGGCTGAGGAGGTAGGATCACTTGAGGATGCAGTAAGCTGTGATCAAACCACTGCATTCTAGGCTGGGCAACAGGGCAAGACCCTGTCTCTCTTGGGAAAAAAAAAAAAAAAAGACAAAACACAAACCAGATGAAATGTCCATATTTACAGATCAGATCAAAAAGCAGTCCTACAGAGGCCGTTCATATAATTTAACCAAATACTATCACATAATCCATATAAATAGACTCCCCTTTCCTGTGAAAACTGGGAAATAGAAGGTTGGTGGCAAATGAGATAATTAAATAATGATGCAAATACTCACCACACCATTACTTTATCTATAATTCATTCTGCTCGTGTGAGTCCACTCAGGGCTTAGGGAAGTACGTTTGCGAAACACTATCACATGGCAGATGATGTTGCCTGATGCTGGGACTGCATGTGAAATTCACAGGGGCCCCACTGGCCAAGCACAGGAAGAGGTGAGTCCCACTTCCAACTGCCACTCAGAAGGGGGTTGAAAGTCTCCATCATGTGGCCCTCTGTGATCTGGTTTGCTTCTTTTTAGAAAAAAGGTGTGGCTAGGAGTGGTGGCTCACGCCTCTGATCCCAGCGCATTAGGAGGCCAAGGCGGGTGGGTCACCTGAGATCAGGAGTTCGAGGCCAGCCTGGCCAACACGGTGAAACCCCATCTCTACTAAAAAATACAAAAATTAGCCAGGCGTGGTGGTAGGTGCCTATAATTCCATCTACTCAGGAGGCTGAGGCAGGAGAATCGCTTGAACCCGGGAGGCAGAGGTTGCAGTGAGCCGAGATCGCACCACTGCACTCCAGCCGGGGTGACAGCGTGACTCCATTTCAAGAAAAAAAAAAAAAAAAAAAAACCAAACAAACAAAAAAGAAGGTGTGATTCACTGAAGCCTCATTTTTGCCTGGCTCTTTTGCTCTTTATGAATTTACATTTTGAGGCACTAAAGGAAGTCCAGTATAAATTTAGGCCTCAGTAGAAAGACGTAAGAGCTCTTCCCATGCTAACCCAGCCAGCCTCTGCTGCCTCTGCTTTGATAAGGAAACTTTTCATACTTCCTGTCTCCAGGAGCCCAGGGATTCTCTGGCTGGCTCCAAGTGCCCTCTGCATGGGTCTCTTGGCTAATGGGGGTTGACTGCCGCCAGCTTGGTTTTTTTATTCTGCTTCATTTATCCTCCCGGGTTCAGGTCTGATTGCAGCTCCTCCATTATTTGGGCCAGCTTGGGGCTGGCAATGCCCAATTTTAAAAAGGAAGGCCTGGTCTGAGCAGGGAGGTGGCCCAAAGGCCGGGCAGACTCACCTCGTGGAATGGACGTAGTGGGGACTCCGGACCCGCAGGTCTGGCGTGGACGGCATGCTGGACTGGGAGTTCCAGTGCGGGAGGCCGCGGATGGGGCTGTTCTGCAAGGAGTTGCTTCCTCCGCCTGCTTCCGCACAGCTTCCCGTGCTGGGGAAGCGCTTGTGGCTGCTGCAAAGCCAAGGAGGCCATGTAGTCACCGCCAGAGAGACAGCACCTTTCCTAGGGGGCTGGCTAGTTCAGGACATCGATCCCAGCATGTGGGGAAGCTCGCCCGTGACTCCCACCTTGCTTGGTCAGACCTCTACTGTGGTTCTCAGGCTTTCCCCAGCAGTGGGTAGAGTCCTGGTCCCTGAACACCCTCCCCACTCCCTACCTAGGCAATACGAGACAAAGATCCTGGTCAGCCTTCTCTGTAGCAGGCAGTGTGACGGTCCTGCCCTTACAGTTTTTGTTTTCCAAGAAACAAATATTTACCTGTCCTGGCACCCCCTTGGAGCTTGGTAGGGTGATTAAAAGAAATGAGAAAAACAGAGCAGCAGACCCAAATGCCTTCCAAAAAAAAACCTCCCTACAAGGTCAGGCCGGTAATGAGCTGATAATACACAGCTTGGATTTCAGCTGCTTGGCTGGAGAATTCTGCTGGATGAGGGGGTGGAGTTCTGAACCACTGCAATTGCTCCGAGTGGACTTTCACTTGCCATTTCAGAATAGCGCTGCCTGAGATTTCCTAATTAATTCCTCTGGAATTTAACAGCATTCAAACCATCTGTCATCACGTGGATTGTGGGCCAAAGCCCCAATTTCTGAGTCACAAAAATGTACCTCAACAGGGTCGGCAGCAGAGGGCGCTGTGAGCACAGCCCCGTGAAAGGCAAACCCCAGGGGGAGGAACTAGGTTGACGTGGGTTTTGTCATCGTGGATGCTACTTGGGACAGCCCTTTGATTGTTCCAGAGCGTGGACGGTGGCCTCATTTGGTGTCGTTCACGACACAGCTCACCTGGAATGGCTGTGAGAGGAGCGCTTCTTGACCTTCTCATAGGGTTCATCTAAAGAAGACTCACTCCACATTTTGGGCTTGATGGGAGACCTGTCATAGTCGCTGCGGTGACAGTGCGTCTGTCGGAGTCCCTCCAGGGATTGGGGAGGAGGAGGCCTGTTGTGCGATGGTGGCCGAGGAGGGAGTCCCTTGTGAGGAGAATGTAGGGGGGATATTGTGCTGGTAACCTGACAGTCTTCTGCACAAAGACAGGAAGAGAGGAACTGAGCCCCGGCCATCCTTCCCACAGGCTGAGCCAGAGCCCCCACCCCCATCCACCCGCACCTTGGAGCCATACAGCCAAACCCACCCCTTCACCCCTGTAATGAGAAACCCTGAGACTCTTCCCTGGTTGCCAAGACAAGTCAAGACGAGTCAAACCAAACCAGGGCAAGCCAAACCTCCACTGCAGGCGGGACTGCATGGGAAGAGACGCGTCGCTTTTGATGAGACACGAATGGAGTGAAGTCTGACCATCATTAAATACCACCAACAAATGACTGCTTCACGCCAAACAGCAAAATGTAGTTACTGCTCTAGTGTTGTCTTTCAACAGACGCTAAGCATCTAATTCACTCTGGGAGGGTCTGAGTTCCCGGAGAGTTTTATCTGTTTCATTTGCTGCTAGATCTTCAGCTGACACATAGTAGGTGCTTCATAAACATCGGTTGGAGAAAAAAAAAAATGAATGAGGGTCTATATGTCCATTGTAAATACCTGCTGGGTGGATCGGGTGTCTACTCTTTGCTTTTTTTCCCCAGAGCTGTGTTTACTCTCTTTTCATTCTGTATATTTTAAGTTTGAAACTGCCTTAACTTCTTTAAGGAGATGAGCTACAAAGATTATGTATTAATAAATGATTCCCTGCCTCCAGGATAGGAATGATCTAACACGTCAGTGTGCTAGGGGACTTTCAGAAAAAGCAAATTCAGTGAGTCTAGGAGGTGCTGTGGGAGAGGCTGGTCTTGAAGGGACTTGGGCAGGCAAAAAGGAGAAGGAAGGAAGGGCTTGAACCAAAGTGTGGAGGCCCTGAGGGCAGGGTACCAGCTGCAGGCACATCTGGCCGGGCAGGGGCTGGTGAGGTGGGGCAGGCGGAGTGAGGGAGGAGCTCTGGTCAGCACAGCCACCTTCTGTGTACACATGTGAGCCAAGAGCCTGACTGATGGGGGCCTGGAATTCTGAGCTAAGGAGCTGAGATTTTGAAAAGTCACAGGAAAACTTTGCAACATCTTAAGCACGGATGCATCAAGGTGAAAAATCCTGTTTTAGAACTATTCACCTGGCAGTGTTCTAAAACTAGAGACTGAAGAGGGGGATGAATGAAGACTTCAGGCTGGGGCAGGTCAGCATTGAGAAGAGAGAGGAGGGAACGATTCAGGCTTCACAGGGAAGGCAGAGACGGGAGGTGGAGGGGGAAAAAAGCACAGAAGCAAACCTTACAAACAACCAACTACCATTCACTTGCCCCTAAATCCATTTCCAGCCACTCATTTCACAGCCTAATTCTCAGTCCCCCAGCCATGGACACCCAGTATGTACCCACTCCTCCTTTGCCCTCAAATCAGTGAAGGAAGAGTCCCTAGAAAGACAGCCTGCAGTGGAACCGTGGCATGCAAAACGATGTGCTGACACCTGTGAGGAAGTCCAGGGTCTGCATCCGGAACACGGGGAAGCAGCCGGAATCACAAAAATTACCCACTGACATTACCCACTCAAAATTACCCACTGACATTACCTATTGCTCCAGGCACCCCTCTATTACCAAGGAATCTCTCTCAATTTTTCTTGTTCCGTTTCCAGGAGAGACTTGGGGTACTCAGAGGCCAACCACAGGGCTGGGATCTCTGATGCTCAAGCCCCCCGTTTCCTTGTAGCCCAATGGCCTCCCCCGTGTGTAATGAAGCAGACAAATATATTCCAGTCTGATTTCTAATAGCACAGCCAAGGTGACTGGGTAAATAACCCGCCAGACTTTCCCCACATCAAGAGCAATCATTATTATTATTGCAATTATCATTATTACTATGACTAGTGTGGACCTTTTATGTTTCCCATCTGAACAGCCACTTATCACTGCCTGCCTGAGGTTTCCCTACAGGACAAAAAAATTAACTGCCACTTAATACATTTCCATGTAATTAATGCACCCGCCTCCCAGTGTGATGGTTAAACATCCACTGGAGTATTCTCACATGGTTCTGGGTTTGGTATTCTTACTTCCCTTACGTATGATGGTGGTGGGGGTTGGGGGAGGGACGAGTTCTGTTTTTTTAAGAATTTCCCAAGAAAATATCCTGCTAACTAACAGGTTTTAACAGTTCAATGGGAAATAATAAGACAGTTTTCCAGCCTGAGCGTGTGTCTACCAGGATACCTCCCCTCTTGCTTTCACTACTACCTTGGGAAGCAACAGTAGGTTTGTTCCATTTCTTCTCACGATCTTTAGACTCTCCTAGTGAGTTTCAATCTTTGACTTGTGATCTAAATCAATTTCTACCCTTTTCCTCTAGATACTATGAATACTCAAAAGGAAGCTATACCTAGTGTGTAGATTCTCTGTCAACAATGTAGTTTTGGACTGGGTATGGTAGCTCCTGCCTATAATCCTCCTAGCACTTTGGGAGGCCGAGGTGGGTGGGTCGTTTGAACCCAGGAGCAACATGGCAAACCCAGTCTCTACAAAAAAAATACAAACATTAGCCAGCTGTGGCGGCACACTGTAGTCCCAGCTCCTAGGGAGGCTGAGGTAGAAGAGTCACTTGAGCCTAGGAGGCAGAGGTTGTAGTGAGCCGAGATCATGCCATTGCACTCCAGCCTGGGCAATAGTGTGAGACCCTGCCTTAAAAAAAAAAAAAAGTTTTTGGTTTCTAAAAAAGTAAAGCACCACGGATGAAAAGCTCTAATACACATGGGTTTATGCAGCACCTACCCACTCCCAACCAAATAGGTGAATACTGGGAAATGAGAGAGCTTGCAGGGAGCCCAGCTGTCTTTTGGCCTGGCTCTTGCCTTTACACAAGGCAATCCCCAGACTACATACAAATTCATCTCTGTTTACTCTGAGCTCCAGGTTTGTAAGCTGAAATGCATAAACCTACCATCCTCAAGAACAAGGGCATCTGAGAGGGAGCTGTCTTCACTGGCAATGTTTCCATCTGAGAAGACAAAAAGCAATAGCCTATGAGTTCAGCACATTCCTTCAACAAAGCCCTATCTGTAAAAACAGCGTGTCTACCACCACCTCATACCTTTCTCTTCCTAACCAGAAAGAACCCACCAGATACAATACAAATGCTGCTGGGTGTTTGACAGTCCCTGTGGTGGGTCATTGGCTCAGCTCCCCACCCCGACACTGCCATGTGCCCTAGCCTTTGTTTGTGCCCTGGTTTCATAGAATACTGCAATGCAGAGTGGCTTCATATCGAATATAAAGGCTGCCCCAGCCCGATTAAACCACATCATTGTCCCTGCACAAACCCAGGGCATGTACCAGCGAAACCAAAGGACGCAAACTGCTTTTTATTCTACAAATGTGAAACTAGGGTAGGCACTTTGCTTTGCTTCTGTGGCAATAAACGGCTTCTCAATAAACTTTGTAAGTCATTAGTAGAGAAAACAAGCGTGCTAAATACAGGCTCCATCTCTCCAAAGCTTATTTTTATAGATGCCATTCAATTAACCAGGAGAACACGCCCAAAAGGGAGAGAGTAAAATAGTCCTCCCTGTTTCACTGCTGGGGAAACTGAGGGGTAGGAAGGGAAGAGCGGTTTGTCTGAGGTGGTTTTGCTCTCCGGCAACGCAAGCAAAGGTCCTAAGTCTTCAGGTTCCAAGTTTGGTGTTTTACCTCTTAAAATAATATGCTAAGGAACTAGCAAGAACGTTAATCACTCCTCTAGTTCAAGTGCGCCCTTGGATGTTTCTGTAGGAAACATCTTTCTGTTGGGAACCCCTAACTGCCTTGGAGGGCGTAGAGGATCTCAAATGGAGCATCAGAAAGAGGCTGAGGGAGCTTTACTAGGTGGCGGGGGAAAAGTTGTGTGGTCTTGGCCAAGGACAACAGGATGAGATAGGGAAAGATGGTTATTCCAAATTTCCTAGAGCAAAGGAGTTTCTAAAACTTCTCTTTTTAACTAGGAATTCACTTTATTCTTGTTGCATGATGGACTCTGAGCAACCAGGAGCTCTGACTTCAGCATCTTGGAATCTTTAGCACATCATTGCTACCCTCAGATGCCCACGAGTTTAGGCTGCAAATCTGTATCTGTCTATATTCATCTATGTAATTGTAGTGAAATATATATAACATCACATTTACCATGTTAACATTTTTTTTTTTTCAGAGATGGAGTCTTACTATATTGCCCAGGCTGGAATGCATGGTTACTCATAGGCATAATCATAGCAGACTACAGTCTCAAACTTCCGGCTCAAGCGATCCTTCTGCCTCAGGCTCCTGAGTAGCTGGGACTACAGGTGCATGCCAACATGCCCAGATTAACTGTTTTTCTTTTTTTTTGAGACAGAGATTGCTCTTGCTGCCAAGGCTGGAGTGCAATGGCACGAGCACCATCTCAGCTCACTGCAACCTCCGCCCCCCGTGTTCACGTGATTTTCCTGCCTCGGGGCTCCTGAGAGCTGGGATTACAGGTATGCACCACCACACCTGGCTAATTTTTGTATTTTGTGCGACGAGGGTTTCTCCATGTTTGTCAGGCTGGTCTTGAACTCCCAACCTCAGGTGATCCCACCCGCCTTGACCCTCTGAGTGTTGGGATTACAGTGTGTGAGCCACTGCGCCCAGCCCAGCTTAACTATTTGTTTTTTTTTTTTTTTTTGTTTTTTTTTTTTGAGACGGAGTCTCACTCTGTCGCCCAGGCTGGAGTGCAGTGGCCGGATCTTCAGCTCACTGCAAGCTCCGCCTCCCGGGTTTATGCCATCCTCTGCCGTCAGCCTCCCGAGTAGCTGGGACTACAGGGCCCGCCACCTCGCCCGGTTAGTTTTTTTGTATTTTTTAGTAGAGACGGGGTTTCACCATGTTAGCCAGGATGGTCTCGATCTTGTGACCTTGTGATCCACCCATCTCGGCCTCCCAAAGTGCTGGGATTACAGGCTTGAGCCACTGCGCCCGGCCAACTATTTTTAAGTGTACAGTTCATTGACATTAACTACATTCACACTGTTGTGCAACCATCACCACCATCCATCTTCTGTTTGAATAATATTTTCATTTTTCCAGACTGAAACTCTGTATCCATTAAGCATTAACTCCTCATTCGCCTGTGCCCTCATCCCCATAGTAACCACTATTCAACTTTCTGTCTTTCTAGTGTCTGTCTTTAAATATGCATACACTTGGAGGAAAGCTTGATTTATATTTTCAATAATTCACTGACTTAGACAAGAAGGATTCTAACAGTTTAGGGGATTTGATGCTTTGTGGGTGGATACTGGGGGATTTCCTTCTACAGTTTACCAAAGGTCATCACCCAAATTCCCTGCCCCTGACTGGAGCTCAGGGTTCCAGACAATCAGATGGTCCAGTCTCCCCAAGCCTCAGCTCTTGGGATAGGAGGCCCCTGGAAGTACAGGGGCCAGCGGGTTGGCAGAGGCTGCTCGAAGAGAGGGATCACTGCTGCTGTGCACCCCAGCCCTACCTGTCCTTCCAGATTGAGTAGAGGCGCTCAGGTCCCTGAGTGTCAGAGCCTGGGCTAGCCTAGTCAACTCAGCTCAGTTCACAGTGAGGGCTGAGAAGAATGCTAGCTCCTGGCTGCAGGTTCTCCCAGGGAGGAGGCCAACAGTGATACCAACAGTTTGATTCATACAATCCCTTCCTCTGCGTCTGCATCCACTTGGTTGCTCTCACGTGGGATCAGGCCTTACTCGCTTCATTTTATGGATGGACAAATGAAGGCAGTGGGCAGTTAGGTGGCTGCTCAGGTCATGCAGGGGCCACTTGTGGGACCTGACGTCTGGTTCCCGGGGCCCGGGCGTGGGAGTGGGGTGGGGACAGCCCAGTTGGCACTGACCGTCTATGATCAGCGAAGCCCTCTGGGTGGGTTTCTTTCCAGACTTGATGCGGTTCTCATTGATCGCATTTTCAATCTCTTGCAGTTTCTTCAGTGCATTCAGATACGAGGTTTTCCTTTGTTTCTTCAGTTTTTTGCTGACGTTGGGATCACTGGCTAGGCGGCGGGCAGCCTCTGTAATCTGGGACTGAATGGCAAACTCTCGTTCCAGGCGTTCCAGCTCAGCTTCCTGTGGGAGGGAAAGCGCCGGTTTGTGTTACTGGGGATGCTGAGCAGGGAGACACTCATCCTTCCCTCCCCAAGGTCCCTGTCCCCTCCCCAAGGCAAGCTCAGTTCCTTGGGAGACACTCTTAAAAGTAGCTCCACTCCTAAAATCTTCATCCACTGAAGTCCCCAGACACACCCACTGTTACTTTCCGGAGATAAGTGTTGGTCTGAACACTGTCACCATCACTGAGAACAGAGTTCCCACACGCAGGTCTAGGGATCGCTTGGCTGTGTTTGACTGTCTCCAGCAAGGTTCATTAAGACAAACCAAAGCCTTTGTGGAGAGTCACAGCCCATTTGGTTGCCACTTCCTTTCCATTTTGGATGTAGGATGCAGCATGATTTTTAGTTTCTTTATGCCATTCTTCTCTGTGGACTTGCTACCAAGGAACTCACACACATGAAGCCAATGCACGGGCCTCTGACTCACGCATCTTGTCTTTCCCCGTATCCCCACTCACCCGCGTGTCTTTCGGGAGTTCTTTTTTTAGATGGATCTTGCTCTGTCACCCAGGCTGGAGTGCAGTGGTGCAATCTCTGCTCACTGTAACCTCCGCCTCCCAGGTTTAAACGATTCTCCTGCCTCAGCCTCCCAAGCGGATGAGATTATAGGCACCTGCCACCATACCCAGCTAATTTTTGTATTTTTAGTAGAGATGGGGTTTCACCATGTTGGCCAGGCTGGTCTCAAACTCCTGACTTCAGGCTATCCTTCCGCCTTGGCCTCCCAAAGTGCTGGGATTACAGGTGTGAGCCACCACGCCCGGCCTTGGGAGCTCATTTTGCAAGCTCTGACTGTCCCTTCCCCATCTGCCTATTCATGGATACTCTGCTGGGCTACACCTGGGCCCTTCAAGGGGCATGGATGGACAGTGGGTGGTGGTGGTGGTGGTGGCAGTCCCCCTCCCACCCACCCCCACCCCCGCCCAGCTCATTAATGTCCTTCCCCTCTTTTTATTGTAGCTCCCTCCCACCTCCACCCTTCCTTTTGCCAAGAAGTACAGATGGATGAGATTCTCCTCAGAGTTTGGGGACTGGGAAGAATGAAGCTGTGGCTGTCAAAAATGCCTGGTGGACCTAGCGGATGACACCTAGACAGCTGTTTGCTGTTGTCCTCTGTGCTGACCAAGCCTCTCCTCTGCAGATGCATGTACACCAGCTGCTGAGGGATGGGGCGAGGCAGCTCGTGCATGTGTGCGTGAGGATTTGGGGGGTGAATGTAGAATCCCCCGCAAAGTGTCAGATTGTTCATTTTTCTATTTCCTCTCTTCCCTAGTAAAACCCCTCTGGATGACAGCTAGCTCTACACAGCACCTTGTTGGTTGAGATTTTGAGCAGTGAGCTGTCTCACTGACAGGGTCCTGCAAGGTGGGCATACTTGGGAGCCTGCAGGAGAGGTAGAATGTTTGCCTAACCCCACAGCTAGTAAACCCAGGACAAATGCATCGGCAGCTTCTCAAGGCCAGGGAGAGAGCACACATCTTGCCCTAGGAAATTCACAGACACGCTGACATTTGATGGGAACTGATCTAGCCAAATAGGAGATCAACTGTTGGCTAGAATCAACAGATCTTCCTGTTTGGTGGCTCAGTAAAATATCCTTGCCTCCTGGCACAATGCACCATGCTGGAGACTGCCATCAAGGAGAAGTTCTTTGCCTGATCTCATTGACTTTTGAGCACTTTAAGCCTAAAGGGAGTGGGAACAAACAGCGAGAGGAAAAGGTGAAGGTTAAAGGGAACTATTTTGGAGTTGATAAACTCCTGAATCCTGCCAAGGCTGGCTGCACTGTTCTCTCAGAGGGAGAAGAATATCGACATGGACTCCCGCCTGGGGTCTTGAAATAGGCAAGTCACCAAGGGACAAAGATTGTTCTGTGAGTTTGGGCTCCCCGGGGCAGCTGTTCCTGAGCTGTTACAATGGCCCTGGCGCCAGACACTGATTCAGAGTTTTGTGGGGGAGCCCAGGACAAATTCTCCCTATTTAAACTAAGACAAGTCCAAGGCTGAATGCCCTGTCCATGCAAATGTCTGCCTGTTACATGAACAGGGAAGCAAAGTGCATTTCGAGGAGCCACAGCAGAGACCAGGTGACCGTCTCATGCTTCTCAGAGGAACCTTGCAGAACGCCAGCTGCTCCTGTGCTGGTTCCTTTTACGAACTTAGGAAAGATCATGTGTGGGGACAGGCAAGGAAGCACATGGCTAGGGCATTCTCAGGGAGCTAAAGTCACACGGTACTGAGAAGCGTGGAAGGTGTAGTGGGACTCTGGGAAGACCAAGGAGAGTGTTGGGGAAACTACCTAAAAGCGGGGTCCCTTTTTAAAGCTTAAGGGCCAAGTATCTGCCCAGCAACAGGGGGAGCTGAAGTTCTTCCCTAGGGCGGCTCTGATGACCAGCAGGATTTGGAAATGCCTGACCTCAATCCCATCCTCCGTCCCCCGCAGTTCCCGCAGCACCCCTCCTTTGAGATTTCATCTCCCCTACAAGCAACTGTTTGCTGAGCATCACAAGTGCCAAATCCTGAGCGGCGTGTTTTACATACACTGGCTCATTCAATCCTAGGGACACCCAAAGAAGTAAGGGCTACGAGCTCCATTTTACAGACCAGGAACTGCCTAGCTGAGCTTTAATTTTTTGTTGTTTTTGTTTGTTTTTGAGACAGGGTCTCAGTCTGTCACCCAGGCTGGAGTACAGTGGTGCAACCTTGGCTCACTGCGACCTCCATCTCCTGGGTTCAAGCGATTCTTGCCTAAGCCTCCGAGTAGCTGGGACTACAGGCACACACCACCAAGCCTGGCTAATGTTTGTATTTTTTTGGTAGAGATGGGGTTTGCACCATGTTGGCCAGGCTGGTCTCGAACTCCTGACCTCAAGTGATCTGCCCACCCTGGCCTCCCAAAGTGCTGGAATTTTGCAGCAAAAGGCGTGAGCCACCACGCCCGGCTACAAGACCTTTAGTTTTCATTGAAGCAGACTGGTGTGTCTACCAGTGTCCCAGGGACCTGCCACTGCAGATCTCAGGAGATTCCTCTAACACTTAGATGGGACCACAAGCACTTGGGTCCCTCTCTGATTTCACCCTCACCCTAATCCTACCTACCCCAGGTGTCCGTTTCTCCCAATCACTTTCTCAAAAGACTAAAAATATACAGCATTCCTCTTTCCCCTGGCTTTAAGTCCTGACCTTTTAAGGCCTCTGTTCAAGAGCATGTTAATTAGTAACTTCCTTCAGAAGAAATCTGGGAAAGCATTTCCTGGGCAGGGGCCCAGGGCCTGAGGGTATACCTGGCCTTTACTTTCTCTTGGCCTGAGGCTGGATTCTCATTAACCAGCCGGAGATTCAAGTCTTTTTTTTTTTTTTCTGTGACATGTTTTATTTTCTCTTAAAATACTATATATATATATATTTTATTATTATTATACTTTAAGTTCTAGGGTATGTGCATAATGTGCACGTTTGTTACATATGTATACTTGTGCCATGTTGCTGTGCTGCACCCATCAACTCGTCAGCACCCATCAACTTGTCAGCACCCATCAACTCATCATTTACTGTTTTTTTGTTTGTTTGTTTTCTCCCCAAATCTGAAGTCTCCAGCCCCAACTTCGCCCGTGTTCGGTCCAAAGGATGGACGTAGCTTCTCCAAACACAGACAAACAAGGCCAGGGCCGCCCAAGCATCCTGCACACATTCTTGGAGGGACGTGAGTAGCCAGGGGAGGCTACGACCATGGGGCGGTGGACCCTACTGATCTCTCCCCAGTCAACCTACCCTTGCACCTGATGCCATGGCCTAAGTTTTCCTTCTCTCGGCAGCTTTTCTTCCACAGATCAGGCATCAAGCTTGGCTCTGAGTCACTGAGGGCTGAGAGGCCATTACAAAGCCAAATACACGTGAATGCTACTGGAATGTTCTCCCCAAGCTCAACGTGGCTGCTTGCACTAGGCCCACAAGGTCAGACAAGCAACTTCGACAGACACCCAGATGCCTGCGAATGCAAGCAAACTACTCCTAGCGAGGGGAAGCACATACCGAACAGCCAGCTCACTCAAGAAAACATATGAGCGAAAATACTGGCATTGGGCGGAAATGAAGAAATTGTTACGGAAAACCTGGGAGGCCTCACCAAGGGGAAAAGGAAGGATAACGTGAGAGAATCCAACAACAGAAAGGACGGACGCACCTCTCCTTTGGGCAGGATTTTCTGTTCATCCAGCTTGAAAGCTGTTCCTATTCTTCTCCGAACAATGGGTGGTTCCTCCCCTGGATCCAGGGGATATTCAACTGGCAGCTTGCCCGTGAGCTCCTGCATATGTGACATGGCATTTGGAGTGAGCATAAATCAGAGTGGGGTGGGTCTGTTTTCTAGAACACACACACACGCGCGCGCGCTCATACGCACATACCAATGCATGCATGCACTTTGGTACAGGTCAACGCCTATGCTAGAAATATTCACATTAAGCACTTTGCCTAAATAAGATTTCCAGAAATGAAATTTCATTTCTCTAACAATGTCTCTTATGTAGAATAGTTGCACTTCCAAAGTTTTTTCCAAAGTAAATTTCTGTGAAGTAAACATAATTGCCATTTTGGCTTTCATGATAAAACCTGAATTGCATTCATTCGTTAATTGAACAAATATTTCCTGCCTGCTCCTCTGCACCAGGCAAGGTCACCCAGCCAGTGAGGAGCAGCATCACCGTGAGTTCTCGGGTCTCTCCAACTCCAAATCCCGTGCTCTTGACACTGCGTCAAATACTCCCGCTCAAATACCTAAGTTTAAAGTTTCCTTCAAATGAATTTTCACAAGAGGAGTGGTATCTACATGGCAAATCTCAGAAAAGTGCATATATAAATGATTGAGAAACCAAGTAAGGGTAGTAATCTACTCTAGCCAGATGCTACAGGAATAGGCTGTGCATAAAAGACATTCAATTGTTTGGTTTAAAAGTTTTAGTAGAATGGCCGGGCATGGTGGCTCATGTCTGTAATCCTAGCACTTTGGGAGGCCGAGGTGGGCAGATCTTTTGAGATCAGGAGTTTGAGATCAGCCTGGCCAACGTGGTGAAACCCTGTCTCTACTAAAAGTAGAAAAATTAGCTGGGTGTGGTGGTGAGCACCTGTAATCCCAGCTATGGGAGGCTGAGGCAAAGAATCGCTTGAACCCTGGAGGCGGAGGTTGCAGTGAACTGAGATCATGCCACTGCACTCCAGTCTGGGCGACAGATAGAGACTGTTTATTACAAAAAAAAAAAAAATATATATAGTAGAAATTGAACATATAATCCAAGTCATTGACAAGGCTACTAAAAAAAACACCTGTTTTGTATATTTTGGGCCCTGGAAATCTAACTGTTGTGGGTACAAGGACGGTGAATTTAGTTGACAGACTTTCATGGTGACAGTGATCCTGGTGAAAGGCTAAGGATCTGGGGGTGATTTCAAGATTAGAATCAGGCTCTCTGTGCGTGAGTTGTATCAGGGCTGAACAATGATCAAATCAGAGTCAGCGGCTGCCCCGCACTGCAGAGGCCAGCCATCAAATGCAAGAAGTCACTTCCAGAGACCAGAAAAAGCTGTGGGACCAACTGTGCATCTGTCGCCAGTGGCACAGTGGGCACTTCCAGGCCAAGCCCAGCTCTGGCTTTCTATCCCAAATTAACGCAGAACCTGCACAAAGACTCGAGGCGCTGCTCTGACAAGGAAGTTCAGAAGGCTCTTCTCAGGAATATCCATCATCCACACAGAAAGCTTTTGCGCAGGGCAGTCCAGGGCTGAGTGCCCAGCAGGCGGGAAAATCCAAATCATGAGAGTGATTCTGGCCTCTCTTCCCCAACTGCTGTGTGCTGAGTGTGCATGTGTGCATGTGTGCACGCGTGTGTACGTGTGTGCGTCCGTGTGTGCATGTGACATGAGCATAAGCACGCATACTCCCTCACTCGCCTGCTTCTCCCTCGCTGTGTTCAGATCACCGGGAAATGACCCCGTGGACTATATATTCCTCATTGTAAGCATTTCAGAGCACAATGGCCAACTATTTGAGTATCAAACTCTCTGCAATTTTCTTCCCTGCTTTTTTTCTTTAAAAAAAAAAAAATGTGGTTCAAATGTCTCCAAAGTAGGTAAGTGTTTATCCTGCAACTTTTTTTTAATCTGCTTCCCTAAAAGTCTATCTATAAATAACACAACTATTGGGGGTTTTATATTGTCAGGACTTGATTTTTTTTTTTTTTTTAAACCTAGAAACTTCCAAAAAGGAGGGAAAAGTTGTTAAAATTGCCATGGATTTATAACTCTAAACTGTTTGTGGTTTTAAAATGTAGTTTAAAAAATGAGGCTACTGATTTTTTTCCACCATCCACTTGAAGGTATTTGAGTCAAAGTCTTGATTCTCCAGATATTTAATCTGATTTCGTGTGTAACCAGAGCTGCATAGCGAAGAAGTAATTTAACACTCTGCAGTGGGGCCTCAGCTTAGTGCCTCCCTATATCCTGCCAAATGCTCTCCCCCTCCCTCATTTTAGCTGCCCCCCTCCCCAGGGGTCAAACAGCGCTTCTTGATACTCTGAGCTGAGGGGAGAGATACAGGAACAGCACAGATTTACCAAGACTTCCCCCCAGCCCTTGACTACACATGCATCAAGAGGCTATGGTGGGACTAACTATAGGGAATGATCACAGGAGAAATCTACCTGCAACTGACTTCTTGTTGGGTTATTTATTCCACTCAATTACATTTTCTGGTGTTAACATTATAAGAAGTGGCAGCTTTGTTTTCCTTCTTTTGCTTTTGTTTTTAAGAGCGATGGTGAGATTTTTTTATAACGCATGCTCATCTTGCCCTGACACGTTCCTTACATTTTCCAAACATGCATTCCCTGCCGGGTTTAGGGACTTTTTATTAGAAACAAAACAAGGCTTTCCAAATTATTAAAGGCAGACATCAAAACTCCTATTTTTTTTTCCCAATCCTTCAAGCATCTTCTTTCTAAAAACGTTGCTAATATTAACAGTATCACATAGCGCATTCTCCAGCCAGGCCCACTGCTTTCCTAAGATTTGCAATGGATTTGGACTAATGTGGTTCTGCTTTGAGCAGGCTCCAGTCTAAATCAATCCAGACCATAATTAGGCCAAGTTGAAATGTAATGTGATCTCACTCTACAGCCCCTTGTTTCATTCTTCCTGCTGCAAGGCCTTAGTGTTTGGGGGAGGGGTATACTTCTCTTTGACTTACTTTGGGAACCTCTTTTGACTTCCCATTCTCAACTGTTTACCAGCAAAGCTCTTTGTAAGGTTAGGTGGTGCATAGTCACTCCTGCCTTGGAGAGCTCCCACCCCATTGTGCCCATGTGCACAATGCACACACACGCGCACACATACACACAGTCATGTGTGTTGCATTAAAACATGAAGCCTTCAAACACTTCTAACAGTCATGAAATAAATAGAAGAAGGTGGAAATGGATATTTAAATAAATATAGACAGCAGCTTGCAGCAACTTCTGTGAGACTAGCACATACATAGGGTCGAGAAAGCATTGCTTTGCTTTGCTTTTTTTTTTTTTTTTTTTTTGAGACAAGGTCTTGCTCGGTCATCCAATCTGGAGGGCAATGGCATGATCATCGCTCACTGCAGCCTCAACCTTCCAGGTGATCCTCCTGCCTTACTCTCCTGAGTAGCTGGGACTACAGACACACACCACCATCTCTGGCTATCTGGCTATTTTTTTGTAGAGACAGGGTCTCACTATGTTGCCCAGGCTACTCTCTCGTCTCCACTGATCCTCCTGCCTCAGCCTCCCAAAGTGCTAGTATTACAGGAATGAGTAACTGTGCCCAGCCTGCATAAAATTTAAAAATGTCATTAGGCTAAGATTTCATTTTTTAAAATGAAACGTTAAACACCAGATCACAGGGTCTAAAGGTGATGATATATCAAGTGAGATCGTGGTTTCCTTGTTGACCACCAGCTGCTCAATAGGATGTCCAAAGACAAGTCTGAAATACCCTTAAGAACAAAAGCCACAACAATAAACTCAGGCACAAAATCTTGGGAAGATGGTGGCCAGCCCTTATAACCAATGAGGCACTATCATGTGAGGAGATGCTTTATGAACTACCATGCAAGTATGAGGGATCATCATTAGGACTTGTCACTGGGACTCCCATGGGGTCCTACTTGGGATTCATACTGGTCGTCATAGTTCTTCGTCAACTAATTCTTTGATGGGTTCAGGGACTTTTTCTTTTATTGAAAACAAAACTAGGTTTTCCAAATAATTAAAGGCAGACACCAAAACCCATATGTTTCCCAACCCTTTAAGCATATTCTTTATAAAAAGTCGCTAATATTAACAGTACCACATAGCGCATTCCCCAGCCACGCCAAACTGCTTTCATAAGATTTGCAATGGATTTGGACTAATGTGGTTCTGCTCCAATTCTTTCTCTGATAAAGCACACGAGAGAGGTTTGGATGTTTCCAACATTTGTGTTTAAGGAGAGTGCTCGCCACCCAGATAGGCTCTCTTTTTATCACTACCCTTGCCTTCCATCAAAACGATCAAATGACATCAGTCAAATGACATCAAAAAGATCAAATGACATCAGAAAGATCAACGACATCACAAGACAACACCAATCTCAACGGGATGAGCTAGGAAAGGCTTACAGCTTCTCGGAGACACAGCTTCTTCAGTTCCTCCAGCCTCTGACGCAGGGTTTCCTCCAGAGCTTCCTGCCTGGACTTCAAGGCAGCCAGCATGTCCTTCTTGGCCGACTGCGAGCTATCTGATTCCTGAGAACCTGTCAATAAACAGTGGGGTTACTTGGCCAGCTGACAGGGGACACACATCTGGACCACTAATGAATTTAACTGGAGCCCACGCTGTGGAGATGGGATTTACCCCAGGAACCAAGGGAGTGTGAAATAAAACAGGTGCTCAGCGCTTTAACTGTGAGAAGCACATTCCAGCACTGCATGGAATTTATAGCTAGTCAGAAGAAATGGCAGGAAGATGGACCCTCCTGAAAAAGAAGTTTATCTTTCTCGATTATCTTAAGATATGTCACATACTTGCTTTAATTTTACTAGCAAATTCTAATAGACTTTACACAAGAAAGGGGGAAAGAAAAGCTCACGTCAGCAATTTTAATACATATTGAGTTATTTATCTTTGTTTTTTTTTCTTTTTTTGATACAGTCTCACTGTCACCCAGGCTGGAGTACAGTGGCATGATCTTGGCTCACTGCAACCTCCGCCTCCCAGCTTCAAGCGATTTTCATGCCTCAGCCTCCCGAGTAGCTGGGGTTACAGGCACCTGCCACCACACTACGCTAGCAGAGATGGGGTTTCGCCACGTTGGCCAGGCTGGTCTCGAACTCCTGACCTCAAGAGATCTGCCTGTCTCGGCCTCCCAAAGTGCTGGGATTCCAGGTGTGAGCCACCGTGCCCAGCCCTAAAACATATTTAATACGTTATTTTGTTCACTTAAAAATACTTATTATTTTTGCTTAGTGCAAACATAATGCATGTTTATCATAAAAACCCTGAAATAGGTTTTAGACATGTGTAAAAAATAGTCCACTAACTAATCACCCAGAAATAACCATTGCTGTGCATTTTCTTTTGGCCTCTTTTCCTAAGCACATATATTTAAAAAATAAAATTAGAATGTTATTGTATTTTTTAACTTCATGTTTTGTATCGAGCAAATTCTCCTAATAAAAGTGATACGTATTTTAACATGCTTTTCCTGGTTAAAACATGATGATTCAAATAGCAGAGTGCTAGATAGGAAGCCTTTGTGGAAGGCAAACTTCAAACCAAACAAAAGGAAAATAAGCTGAAATGCCAACTGGAGGAATTTAGGTTAGACCAAAGGAGTAATTTCTGGGCTGCCAGTGTTTGGATTCTGAAATAAGTTTCCTGCAGTGAAGCTATTATACTTTTTCTACCTTGATGGGTTAGAAAAGGAACATTGACTCTCTACAAAGGGAAAAGCTGATTATAACTTTTCTTTGCAAGCCCATCGTGAGCAGAAGTGTTAGAAATGGACAGGTGTTAGTCGGTGTGCATTCAAGGGGCTCACACCATGCCACTGACAACTGCATCAAAGAACTTCAAATACCTAGGGAGATTAATCTAATTAAAGATGAGCAAGATCTCTACTGCAAAAACTATCCCACTCTGCTGAGAAAAATTAAAGACCTAAATAAAGAGAGAGATACACTGTGGTCAAGGATTAGAAGCTTGATGTTGTAAAGACGTCCATTCTCCATGAATTAAACAACAGAATCAATGCAATCCCAGTAAAACCTTGGTAGGACTTTTGGTAGGAAGGAGAAGAAACTGTATTTCCATAGGAAACAATTGAATTTTTGGACAATTTTATAAATGGATGAGAGAATAATCCAATCAGAATTCCCAGAATCAACAGTTCTGCTTCTTCCAATGGTAGAAAAGGCGCTGCAGCATCATAAGACTAGAAAGAACTTTTGTCCCGTGACATCAAACAGCTCTGCTTCACTTAAATTGTCCCCATAAATATACTATTCTCCTATTTAACGTCTCTGAGTAGAAAACCCTGTATTCCATCAATTTCCATACGTACAGGCTCTTACAACCCCAATCATCAAGAACTCTCAATGTCTAAGAACATTCTGACTCTGACATGGGTTTTGTTCTTTCCCTTGCTTACTCAGTTTGAGCTTGAAATAGAGAATATATCTGTCACCACAGAAACATACTATCTTTATGCCTCCAAAGCAGCTAACAAATACTAGCTTGAATGAGCAACCAAATAAATGTTCACAGTCATATACTTGGATGCTGTAATTCAGTTGTATCTCCTCTTCATAACAAAAATCTAATACCTGTAAGTTGTTCCATTATGGAACCTACCTTCCAAGCTCTGAATTGTTTGTAGCTCTTCCCTGGATTTTGACATACTTCAGTTGCAGGTCTCCGAATGCAACTGGACACAAGAAAGCTTCATCCATGACCTCATGGTTCTCAAATACTAAATCCATAGAGTGTCACATTCATACAGCACATCGCTGGACATTATTGCAGGTTCCCCTTTTGGAAATGGTTTAGGTTTGCTCCCTCCATAAGCTAATCACCCTGTGCTTACCAGTCCTAAATGATCTCCAGTGTATGTCCCTCCAAGGTTACATGGCTAAATCATTGTGACTCTTAATCTGGTTCTGTTAGTAATAGTCGCCAATCACATTTGAAGACTCAGGAACATTTACTGAAGTACTCTGTGTTTCATCATTGAAAGAATTAATAAGAATGTAAAACAATACTGGAAGGAAGGCAGACTTTAGATTTAAAAAACAGGCCTAGAGAAACTTGAGTCCAAGAAGATTAAAGGATTTCTAGCTCAAGTGAAAAATTCGTTGTTTTCCCTGTCACCCCTGCCTAACCTCTCAAAAGGAAATAACGATTTATTAAGTCCAATCTAAGAATTAACTGTGTTCAAGAATGGCACAAATCACAACAATATGAAACTCAAGGGAGGTAAAGCACACCATTTTTAGATGATCATGTTGCTAGTTATGGGATTAGTTAAGATTTGGCCCTGAGTTCCAGGGCTCATTAATGCTACCCAAATTATCATCATTTACAATAATTAGCCTAGATACCAAGCCACAGAAAACAGGCAAGAAAGTGTTGGCAGACTCGATGGCTCAAGAGCCCCTCTCTGTATCCGCTAATGCTGGTTGGCTCTGCTAATGCTGGTTGGCTCCGTTTCATGCCATTAGTCTGGGAGTTACTTCAGGGCGAAGATGGTGTCTGGGTACCAAGTTAAGTCCCTGCAAAGTCACTGAGCCAGCCTACCCTGGACATGCAGATTTCCACTGTAGTATTAACTGGATGGCGGATAAAGGGTAAAACAGATCTGGGTTAGATAAAGTCAAAACCACTTACTGGATGTGTGACCTTGGGTGTTACCTGCCCTCCTTAATTCATAAAGGGCTGAACGAGATAACACACCTCCAGCACTTTGTACTGAGCCTGTAACAGGTCAACCCTCAAACTAGGGCAGGTTGAACGTGTGTGTGTGTCTGTGTGTGTGTGTGTGTGTGTGTGTGTGTGCGCGCGCGCGCGCGCGGATGCACACACGCACTCACCCCCCGCCACCCCCGGTAGAATTAGAAAGACAGAAATCATTGCAACTGCCTGTTCACTGTTGCTCAATGAAGTATCAGTCAAAGAAAAGAGCTTCGTACCCAATTCAGTGTAACACTTGAGGTCCAAAGTTTACCTTTAGAAAGGAGCAATACAGAACTAGGCAGTGTTTTCTTTAAAAATTATTTTTAATTGACACATAATAATTGTATGTATTTATGGGGTACACAGTAATGTTTTGGTACATTTCAGGGTAATTAGCATATCCATCATCCAAACATTGATCATTTTTTGGGTTGGAAATACTCAATATCCTCCCTCTAGCTATTTGAAGCTATACAATACCCTACTGTTAACTATTAACATCCTACAGTGCTATAGGACACTCAAACACATTCCTCCTACCTCGCTGTAATTTCTGTCCTTCAGCAAATCTCCCCCATCTCCTACTCTCTCTACCCTTCCCAGCCTCTAGAAACTTCTGTTCTACTTTATACTTCTATGAGATCCACTTTTTAAAAATACACAGTGTTATGGCCGGCAGCGGTGGCTCACGCTTGTAATCCCAGCACTTTGGGAGGCGGAGGCAGGTGGATCATGAGGTCAGGAGATTGAGACCAGCTTGATCAAGATGGTTAAACCCCGTCTCTACTAAAAATACAAAAAAAAAAAATTAGGCATGGTGGCAGGCACCTGTAATCCCAGCCACTTGGGAGGCTGAGGCAGAGAATTGCTTGAACCCAGGAGGCGGAGGTTGCAGTGAGCCGAGATTGGTCCACTGCACCACAGCCTGGGCGACAGAGCGAGATTCTGTCTCAAAAAACAAAAACAAAAACAAAAAACCCGGTGTTCACAAATGATGTTTCCTGAGTCCCTGGGTTTGCAGCTATGTCTTTGGGGCAGCTATGGATGGAGGTGGGGTCAAGGTGGTTCCGTGGCTATTCTTATACTATTGCACTCCACGTTCCTCAAAATAAAGCAGCCCCCTGTGAACCTGCTGCATGTATTCAGGCTGCCATATTGTAACGAAAAGGGTTCCCACTGCCTTTTTTGTCTTTAAAGGAAATCCACTGTTCTGGGGCAAGGGCTCGGAGCTCTCATGGCTCGTGTGATCTCAGAGCTTGTGTGATCTGAGCCTGTGGGCTGCTACCTGCAACTAGGCAAACGTGGCCACTAAGGCAAGAGGTGGCCGAGTACCCAGTGACACGGACACACCAGGAACATTCCATGGAAGCAGCTCAAAGGGCATCAGGAGAGGGAGTCCAAAATGCCCTCTGATGTTGATCTGCTTTCCCACCTCCTCCACAAATGCCCACTAGGCATCCCCCGACCCAGCAGGGTGGTTTTAAAAGGGAAGAAAGAAAGAAGCTACAAGACAGGGAGAAATCAGGAGGCGGAGGTTCACTCTCGCTGCCCGCCTTGATGCCCTCAAGTGACAGAATGACTCCAGGAAGAAACTGAGTCAGGGCAGAGCCTTAGGGCTCAGGGAAATGGGACTCTCGAAAACTAAAAGCTGGGGCGGCAGCTCACACCCATAATCCCAGCACTTTGGGAGCCAAGGAGGGAGCATCCCTTGAAGTCAGGAGTGTGAGACCAGCCTGGGTAACATGGTGAGACTCCATCTCTACAAAAACAAAACCAGCCGGGCGCGGTGGCTCAAGCCTGTAA